CTCTTCATGCTCGCTAGCTTTGGGAACCTCTGCTGCTTCATTGTCTAAGTTGGAGTCCTTGAGATCTTCATCAAAGACAGGAGGAACTCCCGGTGCAGCCCAACGAGAAGGAGCAAATCTGTCCGACTGAATGTAGCTCTGCAAGCTCTTCGAAATAGCGAACTCGTAGAGTACCATGTTACTGACAGTTTGTTGTCGCATCCTTGTAAGTTGACCCTCGTGTTTTCTAGGATGCTTAATGAAGAGTCTCCTACTGACGACCCACTTCAAATATGCATCTCCAAGAAGCTCGGCTCGTTCGTAGGAGAATGTTTCTTGGCAAGATGCGGCCGTCAAAGCTTCCAAAACCTGAAAAACATTGTCAAGAATTGTCAAGTTTGAAACAAAAGTTGGTCACCTTCGCAGCTGGAATGGGAAAACCAATCTCGTGCTTCAGCTGTACTGCGAGTAAAATGCTCTCCACGCGTTTCATCACTGAAGGCAATCGCTGCGCTCCTCGAACCAGGCAACCTGGAAGAGGATGCACAAGGCAAATCTCAGGAGGTAACATGACGTAGTACGTTTTATCTGAGAGTTCCTCCGAGCCTACAGCAGACCAAGAGTCAGCTAAAAGCGACACTGTAAACGAAGAAAACGTACTCTCTAGTAGTTTAAACCGAGGCGAGAGAAGATTTTTGCAATGCGAAACCCCACGACAGCGAAGCATAGGCTGGTGCCGGCAATGTAGACGAACTCCATACCTGCACACGCAGTTAGTTTCTAAGCTTACAACATTTCACTGCTTACTTCTGCTCGTAATAATCTGCATACGAGCTGTACTCCACCGACCCCAGGTAGCCTTCTTTGCGTGGAAATGGAGACTCGGCAGTCATCTCCCTCATCACGGATTCTACGTAGAACCGTTTCCCGGAATGAGCCGCAGTGACAAGTTTACCATCCATTTCGTCCATATTAGCATAGCCATCGGCCAACAGCAACTGTCTTCCTTCAGGCTCCAGTTTTTCCCGTAAAGGAGCTATCCCAGAAGCCTTGATAACATCAAACTCAGCCACAGCTCCCCGAATCCCATAAGTGGGATGCTTCTGAACCCCGTTGGATCGAAGTTTGCTGAAGCCGTATTCTCTTCTATCGCCACCCAAGGCTCTCTCGTTGGTTCCCAGGAAAACATCCGGTCTTGCTCTCTGAAGTGGACTTGACCATGCATGGGAACCAAGAACTTCGTTCATTAGAGCCCAATCGATCTGTTTTGTGCAGCTTGATGTTAATGGGACGAAGAGGTATGCTTTATTTGAATCCCAAGGTGTCGATGCAGGTTCCACATCCACGTCCAGAACGATACTCATAAGTCGAACGTGAAATGCCTTCAACAATGTGAGCTGCATCGAAGGAAGAAAATTGATGAGACTGGGAAGAGCTTTTGGCTCGTTACCTCTGACGATGTGATATGGTGAACTCCAGAAAAGACTAACGATGCTTGTGTAGTTAGTGTTCGTGCTACGAAAAGATCTACCGATGCCGTCAAAACCTGTACAAACGAGTTTTATGAATAAAACGACTTAAAACGTTGTTTCGTCTTACTTCTGGATCCATTTCCCTGCCGAAGAGGACCGCAAAATCAGAAGTTTGTGTTACAAGAGGATCAGTTGAAAATCCAATGTTCGAATAGTGAATGATGTACATATATAGCGACGTAGAAAGCAAATAATTTGTGTTTAGGATCCAATCGCCCTGAAGTTACTAGCTAAAAACACAAAATATTTGAAAGCAAGAAAAGAACCTTCAAAAAATCTGCAATCCCCTCAGGAAAATACTCTCGATATCGAGCTGTTCCTGGAATGGGATCTGTAGTTTCGTTATCTTCGCCTTTGTCGGACTTGTCTGATGTACCCGTGTCTGGCAAAAGCATATCTGTAAACGCTGCCATCTCGTGTAGCTTTTTGCATGCCTCCAAGCACACAGCCTTAAACAGGAAAATCGCTCACGTCATTTTTACAGCCAGCAACTTTCAAACGGATGCTTACCTGTTGTGCTCCCTTCATAGTTGAGCATACGGGTCCATCGAAAGACTCCACGGGAGCATTAGAAGGAAGCCGAAGCTTACAAGAAAAGTAAACGACATCTCCTGTCGAATGCTTTGTCAGAACGAATTCCGGTTTTAAAATCGAGTATCTACAAAAGAACGACGTTTTAAAAACTTGAACAAGACGTGTTTTAGAATACCTGTCACTTGGAAGCTGAGAGCAATAGAAGTGGATCAGTCCAACTGCTGAATTGAGTGTGACCATTGCCCCAGTTGAAGGAACTTGATACGTTTCTCCTTTCCCATCTTCTAGAGACGCGACTATTGCCGCTTCTGTCCAAGGATCGAGTTTCGTTCTTTCCGTGGCCTCCTTTCGTAATGTTTCCTCACTGTTCCGAGCATTACGAAGGAAACTTTGATGAACCTTATTTCCTCTGAAAGAAAAAAGAGAAGTAAGCAACAATGGAACAAACAAAAGTAACATACTTTTCAAGCATCAAAATGTAGTCTGATCCGGGCTTTCGAGCACGGCCACGAGATTGTATATAAGCCAGCACCGTTTTGGCAAGATCAAATCGAACAACTACATTGCACTGGCGAATATCCAGTCCTTCTTCCGCAACGCTCGTGGCAACCAAGACGTTAAGCTGTAAGCGTACACTGTAAACAGAAAAAAAAAACTAAAGCGAAACTTACACTTCCGTCACGAAACTTAGACAAACTGTCATGCATATGTCTGGTGGACACATCTTGAGAATTATTATGACCGACCAGACTTCCACTGCGCACATACTTCAGTGATGGCAACTCCGACAAAACCTACACAAGGCATGGTTGTTATTTCGAGGAAAACCAATATCGCGCTATAAAGTGAAAACTTACGCAAGGTAGCGTCAGAGCAGCAACCACTCGATCTACAAAGATTATAGCACGGAAGTCGTCGACATGTTCGTATTTTCGAAGTATCTGGATCAAACTTTGAACCTTAGGCGTTACCTTTTTATCTGCAACAGCGGCCCCGAGAACCTCGTCAAAATGTTCTCCGCCTGAAAGAGCTGAAAAGACGAGAAATAGAATAATTTCGATGTCCAGTAGCAAATCAACTCACAGTTCGTATCAATTACTTCCCCTTCCTCGACATCTCCATGGACCGCTTCAAGCTTGCTGCTGCTCGCGGCACCTTGTTGGAGATCACATTTTAACATGTCTACAATTTTCGTCAAATACAACTCCTGGTACTTCACATCGGCCGTTCTTTCATCGTGTCGAAGATTCCCCAAGGACGAAGATGCAACCTGTAAGCAAGAGTCAGCTACCGTTGCAGGACGAAAGACCATACCTTGTACGCGCACCATTGTCCAAGTTCATCCAAACAAAAAATGATAGATCTTAGTTTCTGCAGTAAGTTGGCAGCGCCGTCACTTTCCTTGCGCTCAGCGACCCCGTAAACAAAATGGAGCTCGTCGCTTGCTCCTGCGTCTCGGGCTCCCATAAACTGCCATTTGGTACGTTTGGAGCTCGCACTGCAAGCTTCCTCCACCTGTTCCTTCATCTGCTTGATCTTCTCACGAAGCGACCACAACACCGCGGCTTTGTCATATTCTACAACGGTTTCGGATGGCATAGGAACGTGTTTTTCTAGTTCCTTCCGATCACGAATGGTGCAAACCACGGAGTCCAGTTTAGTCTCTAGATTCCTGATTTTAACTGCGCAGTCCTCTTGATTTGAAACCCCTGGGCAGTAGGATAAGGATAACTTACGACTCAAGATAGACAAAGAATTAAGCCTCACCTTTCAAGTTCACTGGAGAGGCGGTCATGCCAAAGATTTTAGGCCTCTTCTCTTTTGGAGCCAGATGATAAAACTCCGACATAACGAGAGAGTACGGGTGTTTCTTAACAGCGTGATGGCACTCGTCCAGTATCAACAAATCTATATCCTCCATTCTCACAATGGAGTGCCTTAGTATGTTGAGCAAGATCTGGGCTGTCATTACGAGAACCTGTGGAAGGTCTTGAGCATAAGCACGACAAAACAAGACACTATAAACCTCTTTGGACTGGAACTCTCGTTGCCATCTTTTAGAATCCCAGAAATCCTGAACCATTTCACCGCAATAGTGTCCCACATTGAAGTTTGTTCTCTCGCGAATAACTTCTGCTTGCTGGAGAAGTAAAAGAAAGCAAAGCACTTAGAAGCATCCTCAGGTTCCACAGAAACTTACCTGATACACAAGAGGCACTTTTGGGACGAGAAACACTGTAAGTATCTTGCGCTGCAGCAGCTCGGCCTTTCTCTTCATCAGAAGCACGGCGATGAGCGTCTTCCCAGCGCCAGTCTCAAGAAAAGCAATCGTGTTTCCCTCCTCGGCCTGACTTAGAACTTCCAGCTGATAAGCTCTAGCTTGTTCCACGCAAACTTTTTCCTTGCCAGCTTTCCCAGCAGATCCATTCTGCGTGGACGGCTCCGTGACAGGATCAGCACCTCCTCTAGCAGCCGGCACACGTATCCCAAACTTGAGAACGTTCCTTCCATCGGCGTCCTTCTCAAGGTAAGCTCGTTTTTCTCGTCCCCCTTCTTCCTCTGGATCTCGCTCTCGTTCACGCTTGCAGCCGCCATGCCTTCTCCGTGTTTTATTCTCGTAGCACACCCTCTTAGCCGGCTGCCTTCTACGATCGAGAGGCTCCATGGTCCTGCAGTAGAACTAAGACAACTTTGGTGAAGATTTTAAGGGGAAAACTCACGAAATCTGTGAACCAACGAGCCCTCCAGCTCCAGCTCGCCGATTTTTACATCAGAAGGAGCCGATCGCGTCCGGCCGCGACGCGATTGGCAGCTTCCGAGGTAAGAATCGGCACGATACCGGGCGGATCAAGAAACTCACCTACATTCGTCGCCGGCGCCCGAGCTCCCGGATCCACAGCCCTAGCAAACAAAGAGGACAGGAGCGTTTCAAACAAGGAGGGCTTTATGATAAACCCTAAATTATGTTTACCGATGCTCAACGGCAGAAGCAGCGCCAAGGAAGGTATGGCACTCCGCGGCGGCAGTACTTGCAGGTTAGAACATCGACAATGTGGAGCGATTGGTTCTTGATCTCGTGTTTTCCAGGATCTTGTGACGCGATTCCAAGGAGGGAAGGGTAAGAGTCAGATTTGAGATAATGAGACTGTGGATACACATTGCGTTTCAGGCTCCAAGGAGCAAATCGTGGCCCATCTAGCGAATTTTGCGTATGATCCATTCAACTATGACTACTTTCGAGAGGTAAAGTGTGTGTTCCCTGGATCTCTCTTATTCTGTTTCTTGGACTTTGTTTGCAGCTCAATATTGTGGAGCTTTTCTTGGATTGCTTGACGGAACCGAACGAAAGATTGGTTGAGTTTGCGATCGGTGGAATTTGCAACTGCTCCCCTGGTGAGCTGAGCTTCGTTTCTCTTTCTGCTTTGAAGGAAACCGAACAAGAAAGAGCGTGTTTGCGCAGACTCTCAAATCGCTTCGATGATCATTTCTTGCGAAGGCATTCCTTTGATCGTTGCATGCCTCTCAAGCCACGTAGAGAACACGGTGAAGTGACGAAACCGTTCTATTTCTGCGTTTTTTAATCCAATCCAGAACCAAAACAGGTCTTGTCTGCGATCGTTTCTCTATACTACCTCTGCACGCCTTCGACAGAAAAAGGTGAGCCTCAAATCTGAAACTTCCATCGGCTTAACGCAAGCTTCTTTCGTTTCTACCAGAGATCTTAACTCCTCCAGTTATCGAGACTATGAAAGCTTACGCAGCGCTGGAATGTGTCAATGTACGTTTCCGAAACGCTGCGCAGGCCTTTCTTGACAGACACATCCAAGGCAAATCTCCAGAGCAATAACCTTCGACGATGCTAGTAAAAAAACGCTCAAGGCAAGCAAGCTTGGATCTTGATATTTGGCAGGTTTTTTATTTTCTTTGATGGAAGGTGTTGCGATCACAGTCAGCGATCATGATCATGGATCCCAGTTTCCAGCTACCAAGTAAGTGCAAAACTTTCTCCAAACAATGCTTTGGGATTGATTTTTTTTTCTTTTGTACTAGAGGTTGCAGTCGCTGAGAGACAATTGACAGAGATTTGGCAAGCTCAGCAGTAAGTCGGGGTTAAGCCAAGGAACTCTGGTGGTGAGGACAAGGCACAGGCAGTCAGGGCTGAGGCTTGCCATGGATCGACAGCAGAAAGGCAAGGCTTCCCTGTAGTTGCTCGCGTTTGGAACCATCAGAGGCAAGCAAAACACAGCCACGGGAATCATCCTCTCGTTGGAACACGGTGCCCGATCGCTCGCGGCCGCCACGGTGCGCTGTGAAGTTCCTTCCAAGCACGTAAACACGAGGATTAGAAGCAGCGGCAGGACGAAGATCCAACCCGAAGATCTGAGCTCCATCCCCGAAGAAGAACTAAAGTTCCATAAGTTTTCCCTGGAAGCTGGGATCCATAAGTTTCCCCTGGAAGCTGGGAAACTTTTTAAAGTAATCAATCCCGTCGCAAGCAACGGACGCATTGGCGCGCCATACGTTTGGCGCGCGCGCGTGTTTCATTGAAGCGAAAGAGGTGGAGCATGATTTTAGAGTGACCTTGCTTAATAAGCGAGAGATTCCAACAATTTTTATATTTTTTATATTTTTTGTTTCTTGCATATTTTAAATGGCCTGTGCTGCGAGGCGGCACTTTTGCTCGTGTGTCCGATCGGGTTGCTGGCCGCTGACAAATGTAGAGGCTTTAAAAAGAATTTGGCTGAGCGTGGTACCACTGACCAGAGCAGTGCAGGCGCCGCGGACAAAACAGCGTGGGGAAGATTTAGCGTTGTCACTAGATTTAGATGATCTATGTAGCACTGGCGGGTTAACAAGCTCATGCACGAGTTTACCCCCAGGTTTTGACCTCTGCCATCGCCTCGTGCGCAAGAACTCAACTCACTGGTAAAACTGCGAGCTTTAGCCCAGTAAAATTCCACCCAGGAGGTTGGGGGTTCGAGTGTCCACAAGGGAGAGCTTTCCTGGCGAATATAACAAGAGGGATGGCAAAGGCAAGTACTACCTAAATTGATTCCAAATCATTAGCAAACTTGGTTCCTCCTTGGTACGCTCTCTTTGTCTTGCGTCATGTTGTTCGTCCGGATTCCTCGCGATTCCACGGGCATCTTCCATCCATGAAGGATTCTTCGATTCCCCAGCGTCACTTTCTTTTGCAAGTGGCAAGCCAGAAAACAAATGCCCCCCCCATGTGCAAACCCTAGATTTATATATAAAAGGTTTGTAGCATATCTAATCGACTGTTCATCGCATGTTGCTCCAACAACATGGAGATTATTCGGATACGTATTACGGGCACGTGTTTTATACGATATTTATTTGCGCCACAAAGATTTTAACGTTCCGCCACCCTAAAGACCCCTCACATGCGGACAAAGAGTACGAGTTAAACTTTTGCAGCCAGCAGCGTTGCATTGCAATGTTTGCATTTAAACTTATAAAAAACCGGATCCGTGGATCTCCTCCGCGACATCAACAACAGAATCAGCAAATTAATTGAATACCAATGGCCGGGATTACGATTCATGATTCATGAATGCCAGAGATCATTGCCTGAAAGTTCATACGAAGAAATATTCGGGCGATTCCAAAAATGCCCCGGATTCTTTTTCTTCTAGCTACTCCCACTTTAAACTCTCACTTCAAACTCTAGTGGGCTTTTGCTGGTTGATGTCACTCACATGCACTGAGCAACGGTTCGATTTGAACGTTTGAACGGTCAGATTTGCTTTTTGGTTGGGTGGCCAGCTATCCACCTTTAAAGTTGGTGGATGCAGCAGTTTGACCTAAAAAATCTGGCTAGCTAACGTAGAATAACTCTTCAGTCGCGTACAATACAATGGATTGTAAACGCAATCTTATAGCTAAGTATTGTGACAATAGGAACAGATCGAAGTGCTTCTTGACAATCATAGGATACATTTGGATACTTATCCATATTTATTAGCTCCGTTATCAATTGTTATTGTAAATTATATGCAGGTGCACATGATTGACGGATGCATGGTGTTTGTATTCTTGTGATCAGATCGCTGTGACATGCCAGTGATGGAAAACTTTAAAAAACATCAGGGTGAAATTGAAATGCACCCTCTTCCCAGGCGCAGGCGATCGCTTGTAAGAAACCACACGGAAATCGCCCTGTCCTCCACAAACAAATGGCAGCCTTTCCCTGTGGGGGTGGGGTCCCCACGCAGTGGAATATTCACCGCCGTCGGCATGGTAGATTCCCCGCCACCGCTGGCAAAAAAGGAGTGTAGTCGACGCCATACGCTAATATAGCGCCACAATCTCTTTGTTCACATGGTCCGGTCGCCATCCACGATGGAAGATATACTGACCGATAACACGTGGACGGCCGCTAAATTTATCCAGCAGTCAAAAAGAATGTCAATATAGCTTGAGAACGACCCGGGGGATTAAGCTAAGCAAAGAATGTCTACGTAGAAGTTACGCATTGGAACTCCCTCCGGTTTCTTCCATTCCTCCATTTGTGGAGATGGACATCGGTTAGATCTCACGGGTGAAAGGTAAAACGGGGTGGATGGCATGCGGACCGTCCGATGCCCGCACTTTGCGGCAGTTTAATTCGAGCTTACGCAAAGCAGCTTTATTGTGTAGTGTTTCCGTTTTTGTCTTGGCTCTTTTTCGAATTAACGGAGTTCGTCCCTCCCGGCTATGGCGATAGCGATGGGGATCGCGGCAGTGGTGGCGTAGCCTCGCGGAGCTTCTTCGCCATTCTCGACGGTCCAGGCGCTCCAGATCTCTCGCGGCGCCGCCGAATTTCGATCGCGATCCGGGATATCGGGCGCTGTGGAAAACGGAGGGATTTCGCGACGGGGGAGCGCTTTCGTTCTTCCGTGGCTGTTACGGAAGATCAGCGAACGGCGTTGCGATCTCTCGGGGTGTGGTGTTTCCCGTAGGAAATCTTTGGCAGGTGGAGGCGCTAAATCACTCCAGGGTTTTGGATCGAGCTCGTTCTTGATCCAGGGAGGGAAAGGAGAATTTTTGGCGAGGTGGGGGTGTGGAATTCGAGGCGTGTCTCGTGAGTTTCTGGGGATCGGCTGAATTCTGCGAGGCGTGGGCAGGCAAATTTTGAGAAACAGCCAAGGCGGCTTTGTCGCAGAGCCAAGAGTGAGGAGAATTGACGACGACGAGGGAGAGAGCAAAGCTGCCACGGCACGAAAAAATTTCTCGCTCGTCTCGACTCTCCTCGTTGCTCTGTTCGCTCGTTCGTGCTACTTTGATCTCACATTTCTCTCTTCCCAGGCGACAATTCGATCTTTTCCCAAGCTCTCCAAATCCACCTTTTCTCACTGTTTCTTCCGCTAGCTGTGTAGGAGAAAAGGCTACGAACAGAGAAAAGCTCTCCTCGATTTCGTTCTTTTGCTCGGCGCCATAGTTTTCGAGCGTGCTCTCTATTGCTAGCCTTCTCGAAGACCACCAATTCCCTCAGCCTGGCTCTAGATCCGGCGAGTGGCGGTCGAGCATGGGAAAATTCTTGCGCAAGCGGAGAAGGGCCGACGTTGCAGTGCTCGAGGGGTGCCTGGGAGTGAGAACTCGCGCTACGAAGAGTGCCGCTTGCAAATCCGTGAGCTCCATGAAGAAAGAGGACGACTCCGGTGGCCAGGAGGCATGGAATCCACGGCCGGATCAAGAGAATTCGCAGAAAGAAGAACTCCACGATCCTTGCGAGGAGCCAACGATGACGGTGGACAGTTCCTCTGTCCAGGAAAGTCGCAAAGCTATGGTGGTCGTCGAGGAAGAAGAAGACGAAGAAGAAGAAGAAGACGAAGAGCTCGGGCGGGCGAAGAGATCTAGCTCCAATTCCTCGCCACACTTGCGGGAGTCCCACAGCGATTCATGCCTGAGGAGCAGGATCGTTCCAATTGGCGTGGCTCATTCCCGGAGCAATTCGGCGTCTTTCTCGTACGACAAAACAGCGACTTTGATGGATCATCCTCGAGTGGAAGAAGCGGCCGAGGCAATCGATCTTCGCAGCAGCTCGTTGGTGGACAACAGCACCCCGGAAGCGAGCACCACCATCACCACCAAAGAGGTGAGCTCTCTCTCTCTCTCTCTCTCTCTCGTTCTTGGAGTTTTGTTTCGTGGTTCCTCTTCTCCGGTGATTTGCTTTGCTTTGCTTGCGTTGCTTTCTTTCCTTGGTTTGTTTGACAAGGCCGGGAGAAACGAGCCAATTGATGAGCGAAGGCTTGCCTGTCAATTCGATCGTTTGTTTTTTTCTCTCCTGATCGAGGCTGTGTATGTGTGTCTCACGGGAGCTTTAATTTCGCAGGTAGAGCCCTCCAGTTGCTGCGGTGACAACACCATTGTCTTATTTGCGAGGTATGCCACCAGCTCGTAAGTTTTTTTGTTTTGTTTTCGCTTTACTCGCGGTTGGTTCTTTCGGTTCTCAAAGTTTTCGCGGTGTTTTCTCGTCTTTTCTCTGTAGCCAAACGTCGAGCGTCTCTTGCCAAGATGGCGCTTCGGTACCGGCCAGTGTCGTGGAATTAAAGCCGCAGCCTTGTTCGTCCGGTTCCAGGCTTACGGCGAGGAGGCCACGCTCGGGTGCTGATTGCGGCCCAGCATGGCGTCACCGTGTGGCAGCCAGCGCCCCGACCCGCGACGAGATCGAGGAGTTCTTTGCGGGAGTGGAGGAGAAGGATGACAGCAGCAAGCGTTTTGTAGACAAGTAAGCTCGCCCCCCCCCCCATTTTCTGTTGCCTGGCTGCCGCTCTTACTTGGTTCTTTTCTGTTTACGTGTTCGGTTGTGCTTGACGTGCGTGCTTGCTCTCCGCAACGCAGGTACAATTTTGATGTTTTCAACGACGTTCCCCTGTCTGGTCGTTTCGAATGGGTACAGTTCCACCCTCGTTGCTCCTAAACTACTCACACCAGCCACTGCTGCAAGAGGAAAACTGGAAAAAAAAGAAGAAACCAAAAGAGCAAAAAAAAAAAAAAAACCGTCTTGTTAGACTAGAGAGAGAGAGAGAGAGAGAGAGAGAGCTCCTAGATGAGACCATGTATTGATGCAATCATGTAACATACTAATGCCGTCATGATGTATAGAAAAAAGATGAGAAGCAAGGCAAGCAAGAAAAAGAGTTGTCATACTCCTACCTTCATCCACCTTTGAGCCAGTGTACCTTAAAAAGAGTCGATTCCTTGCCATCGTTGTTTTGTTTTTCTTTTCCTCTTACAGCGGGATCAGCCTTTCCTTGAATCGGAAGCGTTGAATTCCTTACTTCACAGCGATGGTTGCGTAAAACTGTCCAGTTATAAGTCGGTCGGTCCGGGTACGTACATGACTCTGCCCCTGCCACCACTACTGCTGCCGCTGCCGCTGCTGCTGATGCTGCATGTACTGGTGTTTAAAGAGACCGCTTCCGAGGTCTTCCATTCCGAATTTTTACAAGGCGTTGAATCGCCTCCTAACAAAGACACGCAACGGGGTCAAGGACGAGAAAGAGTGAAGCAAAGTTTACTTGAGTATTACTCGAGACCGGTGGCCATGGCGGTGCTGCTCTTTCCAGATTGGATGAACGAACAAGTAAAGTAGCTGGCCGCTGTGCCGCTGCTGGCTCCTGCTTTGCTCTCTCCCCCCTTGGACCTCTTTCCTTCTTTTGTATTTGAAGACACAAATGTATGTCTCCTGTCCGATCCGATCTGATCAACTGCTCCTTGTGAGTCGCGAGAAAAATACAAAACAAAGAGCATCTCAAACATCTTGTCGTGGCTGCTGAGCCGGGAGCGAAATTAAAAATCGGGAGCGGTGGTTCCTCTCCACCTACAACAAGAGACGCATTTTCGGTTAGAAAAGCGAAAAACTGCGTCGTCAGTACCTGAGCTCTCGTGCGTGGCTCCCCTCCCCCCACCCTCCTGGCTAGATTTACGTAAAGATTTCTCCTTTATCATCCCAATCTCGTGCTGTTGCATAGATGTTTGATAGCAACACCTTTCCAGCCAAACTGTCAGGATCCAGCTCCGCGACACGTTGGGCCGTACGCAGTGCCCGATCAGCGTCACCGTGGATCCTGCACGCCCCCAGCAGTGTCATCCAGTCCACTGAGCAAGGCTCGGGCAAGTTGGCGACGAGATTTTCAGCTTCGTCCAGGTTGCCTGCCCGGCCAAGCAGATCGATGACGCAGTTGTAGTGGTCCACCGTAAGTTCCATGGAGTAGTCCGCGGTGATGGAGCCAAAGCACTTGCAGCCATCCTCAAACAACCCGGCGTGGCTGCAAACGAAGAGCATGCTGACGAACGTGACATCGTTTGGCTGGATGCCATCCAGCTTCATCTGCATAAACACCTCGAGCGAGATCTCGTCGCGGCCGTGGTGTGAGTAAGTCGTGATCATGCTGTTCCAGGTGACCAGGTCTCTGCAGCGCATGCAGTCAAAGAGGCTTTCTGCGTCTTTCAGGCTCCCGCATTTGCCATATAAATTGATGAGCGAATTTTTGAGTCCCGTATCAGAGTCCAAGCCCCTAGAGACGATGCTCGCATGAACGGCCCTTCCCTGTTCCAGAGCCGTCAGGCTTGAACAAGCCTCGAGAACGCTCAAGTACGTGACCCTGTCAGACTTCATCCCTTCTGGCTCCAGTCTGAAATACAATTCTAGCGCTTCCCGGTGACAGGCATGAAGAACATATGCGGAGATCATGGCCGTGCAGGAAACAACGTCTCGTGGCTGTATCCTGTCAAAGATATCCCTGGCAGTGGAGAGCTGTCCACATTTGCCATACATGTTGACCAGAGCGGTGGCCACAAAACCCACGGACTCGAGTCCAGCAGCAACAATCTCAGCATGAATCTCCAAGCCCGCGGATAGCTGCCCCGTACTCGCACAGGCATCCAGCAGGGTGATAAATGTGATATCATTCGGCTTCACACCCTCTTCCTTCATCCCCTGGTAAAGTTGAAGCGCCTGTAAGCCATGCCCATGCTGGGTATGTGCACCTATGAGAGCACTCCAGGCGACTACATCCTTGCTCGCTAGCTTGTAAAACACAGCCTTTGCATCATCCAGGCTCCCGCACTGGCCGTACATCTTAACTAACGAGATTCCCACCGTCTGGACATCAATGCCGCAAGCAGCACTCCGGGCATGGACCGCTTTCCCCTCGCAAAGAAACCTGGCCGATGAAAATGCACCAAAGATGCTGTTGAAAGTGACTCCATCGGGCTTCACACCTTCGCAAGCCATCCACCTGAAAACCTGTAGAGCCTCGTGACTGTCCCCCTGTTCTGCATATCCGGCTATCAGAGCGTTCCAGGACAGTAAGTCGTTCCGGTCCATCTTGTTAAAGACGCTTCTTGCCCCAGTCAGACTTCCACACTTCCTGTACATGTTGACGAGCCCACTTGCTATCGAGTTGTCTATGTCGAATCCACCGGCGTGAAGCCTCTCATGCACCCCCATGCCTTGTCTGAGATCACCCAGGCAAGAGCAAGCGTCGATAAGGCTGACAAACACGATCTTGTCCGGCTTGATCCCCTCCTGTTCCATCCTCCAGTACAGTTCCAGAGCATCCAGACTCTCACCGTGCTGGACACATGCCGCGATCATGGCTGTCCACGAGACAACATCCTCTTTCTCCATTCTGCCGAAAACGCTCCGGGCATCGCCAAGGCTGCCACACTTCGCGTACATGTTCACAAGAGCAGTGTCGACAATGTGTGAGAGACTTGAGCTAGTAATACGAGAATGGATTCTCTTACCTTGAGCTAAGTCACCCACGCATGCACAAGCGTCGAGAGCACTCACGAGCGTAACTTCGGTTGGCTCAAACTCCATCCTCCAAAACAGCTCCAGCGCCTCACTTCCACACCCCTGCTGGGCGTAAGCACTGATCATCGCGTTCCACGAGACGTCGTTCCTCTTCTCCATCCCGTCAAAGACGCGCCGGGCATCCTCCAGGCCACTGCATTTACCATACATGGTGATTAGCGAGGTGCTCAAAACAACAGTAAGTTGACGTACTTCGGCAAGAACTCGCGAGTGAATCGTTCTCCCTTCACTCAGCTCTCCAATGCCCGAGCAAGCGCCCACCGCTCCAACAAACGTCACAACATTTGGCTTCACTCCTTCCAGATCCATCCTCTTGAAAATCTGAAGAGCTTTCACCGGCTGGGAATTGAAGACGTAAGCCGTGATCATGATATTCCACGAGAAAACGTTCTTGCAAGAGATCTTCTCGAAGACCTGGACCGCTTCCTGGACGCTCTGGCACCTGCTGTACATGTTTACCAGATGATTCGCGAGAAAAATATCGCCGCCCAGCCATCGCTGAGCGATCAGGCGATGGATCCGCCTCCCGATCGACAGCAGCCTACAGGATTGCAGCAGCGAGGCGTAGAGAGACTTGTCCGCCCCGGGCTCTTGCTCCAGTCGAGCTACCTGAGATTCTAAACTCCTCTTGCGATCGTCTCCATCAAAATATCCACATCCAGAGCTAGGAATCGACGCATCCGACGCGAAATGGCGCTTACCGGTTACCACATTGCCCTCCTTCCCTCGCCAGCGGCAGCGTCTCATCACATTGTGGAAAGAACCCTAAAACGCTGGAGAAATAGAAGTTTATGCTGTGGCGCATCGTGGCCGTTCAAATCCCAGCAATACAGGGGACATCGCATTGCTGGGAATTGAGGCGAGCGCTAGGTCAAATATTTCGCGCGCGGGCCGGCGAATCCAGGCTCCCAGGAGGCGGGACGGCAGCGAGCGATTTGCTGGATTCGAGCGTTTTCGGTCAAAGTGTTGTGATTCTGGAAGAATGTGTTGGATTTCGAGGTACTGATCGGCGAGAACAGTGAGGTAAGCGCTAGTTCTGAGGTTTTCTAGCGGCGCTGTTGCTTGCTCTGGATTTTTGAAACCCTGTTCCTTTAGCGTTCTTAGAATGTGGCTTTACTTTCATTTTGTTCTGCTTTTGCTTATCCACTTTCATAGAGTTTTTTTTTCCGTGTCTCTGTGCTTTTCTCTTCCTTTGACAGTTTCAACCAGTATTTCTCTTCTGTTCGTATGATTCTGGATGTAACTTTCTCGTTTTTGGCGTGAGGGTCCACAATTCTCTGTGTTTTTATGTACTTGTCATCAAACACTTAAGGTTTCTTGTTTCTTTCACAGGGGAGAATGGTAATACCAGTTAGTGCAAGGCCCAACATCTGGAACTCGACACTTCCGGCCCAGGAAACCGAGCTAGCTGATCAAGAAATGGACAGAACCACAACACTCTTCTCTTATGACGAAGGCCAGTATTTGTCCGAGGACGAAGATGGCGCCAAGGAGCAAGCACGCAAAGACACCCTCAAGCTCCAAGAGGAAGCAATGCGGTGTGCTCAGTCACTAGAAGACACCGAGGGGCTGGAAGAGGTGGCCATGTTTAGCGACAAGATGCTCAGCTATGGCAGCGGCTTCGGCTCCTTCAGATCAGCTCCAGGGGATCACTTTCTCGTGGCGTCCAGCAATGGAACTCAGGCGGACGACGCCGAAGAAGAGCGGCTAGTTTCGGCGTCCAGTGCTACGTCTCCAGCATGGTACCGAGGGGATTTGTCGAGCCACTGTGGCCGGGGCTGCTGTGGAAGTCCGTGGCAGACGTATACACCGACGAGAAGCTTGCTCGGCGGCGTCGAGTACATCGAGGAGGAGCTCCTCTCGGCGAAGAAGCCGTGGAGGGGCAACAGCGCATCCCAAAGCTCGAGGGATCTGGTGAGTGCGAGCGCCGTCCAGAGTTTGCTGGTTGCAAAGCTCAAGCAGAGGAGCGGTATGGGCTGCGGCGGCAGCAGCGACAGTGGCACCAGCGTCTCGAGCATCGTACAAGAGATTCTAGCGAGGGAGATTAGCGAGCAGACCGCAATAGTTCTGCAAGCTCTGGAGCAAGCGCAGCATTCGAGCTTCTAGAAGGGTTGTTAAGTTTTGGAAACATAATAGTATATAAGAAATCTTTAAAGCATTAATCTGTCACTCACATCTTTGGGTTTGCTCGCAGCAGGCATTGTAAATCTGGATACACAGAAGAAGCAAGGTGCATGACGATATCCTTGGAGTGGCCCTCATCCTGGTGGTGTTGATCTTATTTCGAGAATTCCTTGGAGCCAGCAAGAAAGGTCATTGATGATCTCACCATGACTCCATGCAGTTGGATACACAGTGGAACAATGTTGGGATCGTAAAAGGATGAAAACGAAATGCAACAAGATAGGGATTTGTGATTTGAGTTCATGGCAATCTGTTTGGTATGGTATGAATAAATTTCACCCATACAAAGTAATCACACTTAATTGGGGTGAATCCACCCTTTCCTTTAATCTTTTGCATGTTTATAAAACACTCCTATATATAGCAATTGGAGTAATTTTTATTCAAAGATGTGTTAATTAATGTTTTTTAAATTGCATAAAAACTTGAATATTCACACAATCACAATTTTTGTTGTTATTATAACAAATAAAGTGCATTATAATATTTGCATGGGACATATTATATAAATATTTTAAATTTTAAATTTTAGACAACTTCTTTTTAGTATTAGGTTTTGTTAACCCAAGTAGAAAGTAAATGAAAGATGAAAGTTTTTATGTTTTAGTACAAAAATATTAAGTAAAATCATGTAAATTTTCTAAATAATTTAGCCTCTTTATAATTTTCCTTGACTTTAGTTATAAAAGTTTACACTTTCCAAAAAACATTTCATACAAGAAAACTCTAGAAAAAATAGGATTTTTTAAAATCTAGAAGATTTATTTCCCTCACTTTTTAACTAACAAGTAAAATTATATTTGTAATTTATTTAATAAGTTTATTAAAATTATTGAAAATGTAATCATATAGAGTAAAAATTAATAATATTTAATGTTTTTATGTTTTTATTTAATATAAAATAACTTATTTATTATTCTTACTTAGTATGAATATAAATATATTTAACTATATAAAAACTTTTAAACTATTCAAATGAAAACTTTAAAAACTGTAGTGAAATAAAATAATTTCCATGTTTACGGGGCAACATCAAGACTCTACTATCCTTATTAATTACTTATTCCATATCATGATTCTTTTTAAAAACTTTCATTGCACTTGTTATATTTCTTCCCTTCAAAAAATGATTATAAATTTTTTAATTTTTAATTTTTAAAAACCTTCTAGATTTTTTCTTTAAATTATTCTATAAAATTATTAATTGTGAATATAAAATAAATATTGTAATTGTTTTAAGAAGTACATTACATATTTTCTTTTCTTAATTATTTTGCTTTGCATTTTTCAACTTTGAAAAATTATCTCAAGGGTAGACAAGGGGAAATAGTAAAATATAATCTATTCAAGTATTTTTAGGAATTAATAACACTAAACACTATAGTTGTATCAGCATATGTTATTTATTATATTTTAATTTTTTGAATAACCATTTGTATTTTTGTATCCCTCAAAAAGGTGTTATTTATATAGAATTAAGCATTAATTTTCTTTTCTCATAAAAACTAGAAAAAATGCTAATTTAGTTTTAATATTTTTAAATAATTGCAAATAAATAAATAAATGTGAGTGCATGGAATATGGAAAAAGAATAGAAGAAATGTGCATATCAATTAGCCAAAAAATTCTAGCTTATATACATGAACATATGGTTTAGATTGAAATCAATCCAATGGATACCAAAATCCTATTATGCTAATATTAGTATACAGCATTGTAACTATACACTTGAACCTTATATTGCCCTCTCCTCTCAGAATGATAAAAGACTATCAGGGTTCTCTTGTGAATGGGTCGGGATCTAGAAGAACATTAAAAGGAGGTATCGATGGATTTATAGATGATGTTAATTGTTCTTAATCCCTTTGTAAAAAGTGTTTTAAGCATTGCACATGCACAATTTTTGGAGGATCAATTTGTTAAATGTCATGCTGAACCTTATAAATTTATAGTCCAACTTGCCACTACACTTGATATGGACCTTTCCACTAAGTAAGGAGCCCTTTAAATAAACAATATACTGTAAGATGGGGAAAATAAACTAATATCAAGTCATCCACTTTATACTTTATAGATGGATGATAATAAGAGTTGTAGCACTGTTGTTATCCCACTTGTACATGGCCCAGGTGTTTGGCAAATTTTGCTCAGACAAGTGGAAGAATGCTCATCAAATACTAATCCCATGACCTAGCGTCGGCAGCTTGCAACAATTATAAAGGTAAATCAAACTCCATTGGTAGTACTGGATCATAACCATATAAGAGTTTATATGGTGAAACATGAATAGAACTTTGCCTTATGACATATACATACTGAAGAGACGGCAAATAACTATCCCAATTCGAATACTGAAAGTTCATGTACTTTGCGATCATCCCTTTAAAGGTCCAAAAAAGTCATTCCACCAAATCGTTTAATTGTGTATGATAAGCACTCGTGAAAGTGTGGCGTATAATTGAAATGTCAAACGTGAAATGCCTTAACCATAAATATAAGATTATTATCCGAAAGAATCTGCTCTAAACAGGAATGTTTAAACACCACTCAATTGAGGAAGAAGTATCCAACAATAGTTGCAAACTCGTAAGCAAAAACACTAACTTCCACCTAACAAATCAAGTAGTTAAAAGCAATGATGACATACTCGTTGTCAATAGTCGGTCGTGGAAAAGGTCCCATCAAATTAAACACCACTAACTCAAATGGACAGAAAATTACAATTAACTTCAACCTTTCTTTCGCAACACAAGAGGGAGTATTATGAGTTTAGCACCAAACGCAGTTACACACATATTGAATAACATCACATTGCATTTCTAGCTAATAAAAAGACTTGTACAACTTTTCGGTCACACGATATTGTCCCATATACCCACTTAGAATAGGAGAATCATAGTAGACATGGAGAAAGCATAGAATAAAGATTTAAAGCACTATCAGCTGTAAATGATTATTAGGATTTGTCTCCACAAAATAAAGAAGACCATCCTTAAGGTGATATTGAGAATGTAAATGCCAAAAATGGCAAATCATCAGTAAGTGATGCAAAATTCTTAAACCCATCATGAAGCCTTCGAATCCACAACTAAATCTTTTAAGCCTCACAAACTTCGTCAAGAGAAGGTAAATCCTGTTTTGCACCTTGTGGACATTGAACGTCAAGTATAGCAACTACTGATGATATGGAATCTTTATCAAAAAAATCCATAAATGTTGGAACAACAGGTTTGTAAAATACATGAGGAGAGAGTGAAAAAGGAAGAGAAGTTCAAAAAAAGGCATCAACATCAGCCATAGAACTCCCAAGCGATGAACAACATCAAAATCATATATTTGAAGTTTCAAAGCCCACCAAATAGTACGTCTAACCAAGTTCTTCTATTTCAATAATGAAGTAATTATAGCATGATCAACTTATAATAATGTCCAAGAATAATGTAGATATACATGAAATTTCTTAAAACCCCAAAATGCTGCTAAACACTTTTTCTTTGTTGTGGAGTAATTCACCTCTATTGATTGTAATGTATGGTTGATATATACAATGGGATAGCGCTAACCAAACACACTCAAGCTCTCTTGCATCAAAAAATCTCCAAGATTGATATCATAAGCATCCACAAACAAAATGAAAAGTTGAGTATAGGCTAAAATTGAAGGAGTCGTCAATAGCTCTTTGAGATCTGTAAACTCCCACTCACAGTCTATAGACCAGATGAAAGATGATATTGATAACTTCAGCAATGTTTGCAACGGTGTAGTGCAATAAAAAAGATGATCAACAAAATGACTGAGATACTGCATTTTACCTAGGAAGTGTAATAAATCATTCACACACTTCAAAGTAAAGAACATTAGAACAGCTAAAAGTTTGTCAGGATCAACTTGCAAACCCTCACGAGAAATATGGTACCCAAGATAAGTCATGTTCTTAGTACTCAAACACACACTTCGACCACTTCAGTTTTAAACTAACTTCCTGTAGCCAATCTAACATTTTACAAATATCACAAATGTGTTATTCCAATATCCCATCCAAGTGGATTAAGACATCATTAATAAAGTTAGCAATCACCTATAGCATATCGTAAAGAACTTCATCCATCATCGCTGTTGGAGCATTGTTCAAACTAAATAACATCACCAAAAACTCGTACAAACCAAATGGTATATAAAAAACAATTTTAAGAATATCTTTTTTGCCTATCAATATTTACCAATACCTAGAAGAAAGATTTAACTTGGTAAATTAACGACTTCTCCCCAGACAATTCAAGAGATCAATAGTGTGAGGAAAAGGGTACACATTCGGGATCGTTACTTTATTTAACAGACAATAGTTAATGCAAAAACGAATACTCTCATTAAGCTTCGCCACAAAATAAGGTTCACATGCCCAAGGACTCCACAACATCTAAATAACTCCCTTTTGCAACATTTCATTAATGTTTGCATATAAAATCTTGATTTCTTTGGATGACTTCCGCTAAATAAGAATCTTGATTAAATGAGCATCCCTAGTTGGAATAAAATGATATATTGCAATTTTAGCCCCAGATAATAGGTCAAAATCAAAAAGATCAGCATACTCCTTTATGAGTCTGGTCAACTACTACAACACAAAGACTATCGGAGGGATTGAAAAAAGAAAAATAGGAATAAGATAGAAATTTAGGAGGAAGTAAAGAGACAAAAGTGATGGAAGCAAAAGTAAAAGTAAATGGATGAAAAAGTATAAAAGTGAAAGGAATGAAAAAAATATTAAAAAGTATAAGATAAAGGGGAGAAACTTTAAAGTCACACTTGGCATCATTGTGCCGTAACCAATCCATATTAAGGATGAGGTCAAAAATTTAATTTGGCACCACTTGCAATAACTGCAACTTAAGCTTAATATTGCCTACACACACAATAATGTCTGCCTTATCTTGTGCACATGCATGTATACAACCATTACCATAAAGAATGAAATGGCTCTGCCGCACAATGCAAATATAGACGGCAACGTATGGTAACAGGCTGAGCAATAAAAGATAAATTTAAGCCTGTATCAATCAACATAAAGTGAATAATAAGAGACCTCTCAGTATAAAAATAAGTTTGGAAAGTAAATATTAAATGAATTAATGTCGAGTGAACTTCTTGATAATACTCCTAAAAGAAAGATGGAAGGGTCACTAATTTATTCACGCAAAATCCCTTTATTACTTGCTTGATTCTTCTTCCACTGCAACAACACTAACGAGACATTGTTGATGCCAAAGTCTCTATTTAGGAAATGGAAGTCACTAATTCGGAAAACACCAACAATACCAATAAGTGTGACTAACTTCATCATATGCTTAGCAATGGACATCACGGCCATGGCGACGTCTTCATCCTAATCCTTGAACTTGGGCAACAATAGCATCAACCTCTATTGAAATGAAATTATCCCATTAATATTATTTATGACAGTAAGGGATCTTTTCTTGGTGGGGACAAGTCGCACTATGTCTAATATGCTCTGCCACAAGAAGTGGAGCTAACAAGAAGTGGAAAATGCAATGTCTCATAACATTGTGCCAAACGAAAGGCATTATCAATGGTGGTTGGAGCAAGTGCATGCACAAGCCTGCCAAATCTTAATGAAGTGTTAACTAACTTGATTTGCTTTGACATATTTGACTCTGCACAAAGCTTCGAAAGTGAATATCAAATTGCATCATTGACTTAGATAGCCCTTGATGAAGATGATGCAATTGTTAGAAGGCATTATCACAATCATTGGCATGTCCAAATGCGCATTTGAAAACGTCTAGGAGAATATTTCAATTCTCACAAATGGCTACACTCAAACTATTATACCACTATAGTGCCGTCCCTTGGAAACATGTCGAAATTCATGCAAATGTTGAGCATCATCCCTAGAATGATATATGGCAATCACTGTGAAGTGATCGAACCAATAGTACATGTCATCCCCAAAATGCCTACAAAAGAACTCCAATTGAATGCGAGGATTGGTAGCAAAAGAAAAAGAAGTTGTACCATGCACTATAAATGTTGGTATCAATTAAATCTGATTATTCAATTACAACCACATAACATTGATTAAGTGCACCAATTATTACTCTAGAGTCAAAAGAGGAGAAGGCTACTGCTTTACCATAAAGATGAATGAAAAAAAAAGAGCACAAAAGAAATTAAGAAAAATAATAAGAAAAAAAAGATCTAGATAATTCAAAAGCTAAATCAAAATCAAAATCCCAAATCTTAACACTCCTCAGGGACAATTAAAACTACCCTTCATCTCCACCAATATGAGTGCATGGAATATAGAAAGAAAATATATGAAATATGTATATCAATTAGCCCAAAAACACTAACTTATATATAGGAGCAAAAAGTTTAAATTAAAACTAATCCAATGGCTACCAAAATCCCATTACATTATTTAAAAGCATGTTTCTGAAAAAACTTTAACATGTACTACATTCACTTGACCTCTTATTTAACATAAAATGCATTAACTAAACTCGCAATTCAGTATATAAAGATCCTATTTTAGATGCTAGAATCTCTTTCGAGCCAACCAGGAAACTCTGGACAGCACAATAGACTTACTGCTTGAGATCCAAATGACTTGCTCCTAACAATACAAAGCAGACTGCAGGCTGGATCTGACAAGCACGGTTTTGTTTCCAGATTCGTCACCTCCCAGACACGAAAAAAGGCGACACGAACTTGCTCTGGCGTGTGCATGGACGAGGTGTGCGATGAGCTGAATCGTTTCCCTCCTATTTGTATCTGGTTTTGAACAGATTATGTCGCTTGTTAGGGTCGCGCGGTTTGCCTCGTCCACTATTAGCACCACCACCACCACCAATGAAATAAAACACAGGCTATTTGATTCGGCTTACCTGAATTCTGTATACAATCTACCTTTGGCACCAGACATCGCGCTCATGGACCCAGCTGTGCGACGAATTTTCAAGTTGGCAATATCATCTGCATCGTGTTCCAGTTTCTCGACACCAGCGGCATCTTCTCCCGCATTTAAAACCTGTTGCATTCAATCAGTTTCTACGTTTGTCCACCTGAAACCATACCTTTAACAATAGATCCATTTGATCTTGTAGGTTACTGTAGCTCAAATCTGTGCCACTATCAGATGGTGGCAAATTTGTAAGCACCTGCATATCCTAACCATGATGAACCAAGAGTACAATGTAAGGTGGATCTTCTAACCTTGAAACTATATCCCTGGTCGATGAGAAACTGCTGCCTCTTAGATGAATAATACATCTCCTGCAATGCCAAGAGCTCAGTTGCATGCTGTCAGGAAAAGCTAAGTCTCACCTGTGTATCTGTCGAGACCAAGGAGTAAAAGAAAGCATTGTACTCTTCCGAGCCACCTCTTACTCGGTCACATGGTTTTCCCTGACCATAACATGACGTTGAAAAGTAAAGCAAAAAAGAAATAGAAGGAAAACCTTTGCTCTTAAAATTCGCCCCAGCCGCTGTGCTTCCTGCCGTCTAGAACCAGCATGTGATGATATTTGGATGATCACATTTGCCTCTGGTATGTCGATTGAATTGTCTCCAACCTGTCAAAAAAATGTAATAAACCGGCCATGCAAATCGATCATTTAAATAAAAACCTTTGACAGAAATACGGTGTTCACATCAAGACTGTGCTTAAAGGCGTATAGAATCTTTGTCCGCTCTTGATGACTGGAAAGGAACACCACAAACTCAGGCTTGGAAAATGTTTGATATAGTACCTCGTAGGACCGTATATGAAAGGCTTCTTCAGTTTAGTAGCATACTCTCGCAGTGCAAAAAGATTATCAGAGAAAACTATAATCTTGTCACCGCGCTGCTGCTCATGAAAGCGAACAAGAAACTCGCAAGCTCGAAACTTGTTTGGGTTCATGACGTATAAGGCCTGCCAGTTACACAGCTACAATTTTAAAAACATACAAAAAACTGAAGCGTCTTACCTGCTGTTTCTTGTTTTCCTTCTTCAGATACTCTGCATAAAACTCTTTCGTCATGGGACACCAGACCTCCGCGCACTGAACGTTGGCAATGTAGCCATTTTTCACGAGGTCTAGCCAGTTTGCTTCGTAAAGTTTTGGACCAATCAGAAAGTTCAAATCAGTAATACGCTCGTCCTCTCTCACAAGAGTGGCTGAAAGAAAAACACTCAGGTGAGATTCACAGTAAGATAAGCTATGCGCAAACCAGTTAGTCCAAGCTTGCAGTGCGACTTGGTGATGCTAATCACTTTTCGAAACATATGAGCTGGCACGACATGCACCTATACGAAATATTAGCAATCCTTGCAAAAGATGGATTTCAACTCTACCTCGTCCATAAGAAGCAAGCCCCATTCACGGCTTCTTATGAGCTCAATCACTTTCTCAGACTCTTCCGATCTCTTTCCCTTGAAAGCGACCATATTGTAAGTGGTAACAATAACGCATGCGTTTCCTTTGAATTTGTCTTTGCTGTCTGATGTGAATCTGCAAATCTGATCGTCACGAATGGTCGACCAGAGCTTGAACTGAAACGCCCATTGATCCACGGACACGGCGTTAGTGGCCAAGCAGAGACAGCTTCTCCGAATGCGGCATGCTGCAGATACTCCAACGAGTGATTTACCAGCTCCACAAGGAAGAACAATTATTCCCGACCTCGCACGACCTACAAAAGACAGATCAATACCGGGCAAAAAAGAATTTCAAAACTTCTGTGCACCATTTCCAAACATCTTGCTCAGGCTCTTTTCTTGATACGGCCGAGGTTGAGCCTGAGGTTTGAGCTCGATACTCAACTCAGGATTTACCTGGAAGCGCAAAAGTTAGCATCAAATGCAAAAGGAGAATGAAGTTTTGAGTACCGTATCATTTCTAAAGTCGTATTCTTCAAGCAATGGATAACTTAAATCAGGTGACAGGCAGCGCTGTTTTACAAGCTCCACCTGCAAATGGACGGCACATCGTGAGATTTTGTCATGAGCAGAAACAACCTCACCTGATCTGGATCGATTTCAAAAGAGTGAACTTTTCGCTCCTCCGCTACTTCACCCGTCAGAGACTCCAAGTCTGTCGGTAGGCTCTCGGCAGAAACAGATATCTGCGACTTTGAATTTCCTGAGCCATTCTGATACAGGCCAAGAATCTAGCTCACCTGAGTCGTGTTGAATATCCTCGCTCGGGCGATAACAGGGTCGTTCAAGAATTTCTTAAATATCTGTAGCAGCAGCCGTTTACGAAAAAGATGAGAGTGCCTGAAGGCTGAACGTTAAGCATGTACCTCGTCATTCGGCGACTCAATAAAGTAGCGATTTTTTTGAAGAACGAGCTTGGCTTTGCCACAATTGAGAGTTGCTTTCCGGATGAAATCCAACACTGTCGATGGCAACTTGGCCTTGGACAGGCGCTCGAGCACGGTGATCACGGCGGACGTTTCCAAACCAAACGATACGGCAGCGTAGAGAGAATGTGGAGTGAGGCTGTACTCGTGCATATGCTCTGGCCTAAAGAAATCACAAAGAAAAAGTTCGTTCGCTCACTCGCGCAGGCTGACAAAGGATGAAAAGAAAAACAATTCACCTGCACACTGGCTCCGCAACCGCAATGAGAAAATCGTAAGCTTGCTTGTAGAGCGGGGAGAAAGTCTCGAGAAAAATTCGACCATCGCAGCCGACAAGGATCGGCCGCCTGTCATGGTCCGATTTCAGCTCGAGCGCGCTGAAATCCTTTTGTTTCGTGTTCTCTTCTGGCTCTTCTGCGAACAAGAGCAGGAATTAGAGACGCAACACCGATGAAAACACCGGAATTACCCTCCTCCGCCTCGATGTACTCGACATCATCATCGACTGGCGCCGCTGCGATCGGCGCCGCGATTTCTTGTGACGACGACGGCGCCCTCCTCTGTTTCTTGCTGGGGCGATCGCTCATCAGAAACCCTAACCCAAGCTTTATCGCTCCTTTTATACCCATTTAAAACAAAAAACCTTTTACCATTTACCATCCGACGGCTGTCATTGGTTAAATCCTGCGGCCCACAAAGCTACGAATTTAAAAAAGGTCTAGGAATTCCTCAAATTCTGGTTTTGCTTGCTGGGAATCGAGCCGGGATCAAGGGGTCATGAGGGACATGTGATAGCCACATAGAACAAACACTAAAACCATTATTAACTGTGTCAATGCCAAGGACTTAAAAGTAATTGAGATGACTGTAAGGATATTCGTTTCTCTAGGGTTTAGGGTTGTGCGGAAGAATGGGCAAGGCAAAGACGTCGAGGAAGGGGAAGAAGGCGTGGCGGCGTAACATCCCCACGAACGATCTAGAAGAGCTTGTTGAGCGGTCTGGGCGCGAGGAGCGTAGCGGCGGCGCTCTTCTCGGCTCTGTTTCCAACGATTCTCTCTTCTTTGTCGACAAATCGGGAGGTAATAGCTCGGGGATTATGCCGCATTTTGCTTCTCGAAGCCTTGTGTAGATGAGAGCGTGCGAAGGAAGATCGATCGGCACAGGGGCAAAGTTTTGCACTGTGACAGCGTGCTCCAGAGAAGCTCGCTGGTGCCAGCGCTTCCAGCATCGAACAAGCGCAAGCTCAAAGATAGGGATTTAGCAAAGCGTCCTCAAAAACGCAACAAGGTTCCTCGTAGCGAAGTCAGTTCTTTTTCCTACAGTAAACACTTGATAGAATGAAGTTTACTCTTAGGCAGGAAAAGATGCAGCAAAACAAAATGGTCCCTTTGATCTCTGGGAAGGTAACTTGGTTTCTCTTTGTTAGCTTGTTTTGACGTCTTGATTGATATGGCAGAGGATGAAGCTATCAAATCCAAATGGGCGAAGGTGTGTAGCTCTTTCATAACAATGTGAAGCTTTTACTTAGTCTTGTGTGTATACATCGCAGCATTTGGCTCGTTTCGGAAACACAGCTTTACCAAATACTCCAGCAGTGGAGATCGATGCGCCCGGATGTTCTTTCAATCCTACCTATGAGGATCATCAGGTTGATATCACTCTTCCTTAATTTTTTATTTTTATTTTTTAAGTTCGGTTTTGTGTATTAGGAAGCATTAGGTGCAGCTGTTGCTCAAGAAATGCAACAAGTCTATAAGAAAGAATTGGAACCCGAACCAATACCTTTGCAAGTCCCTGGCAGCGTAATCGATGAAGAGGACATGTATTTCATTGAAGCTGATCAGGACGATAACGATGGAGACACTATTCAAGAGGATGAAGATGCTGTTTCCAGGTTGAGAAAATACAGATTTTTCTTGCTCAAACATTGATATTTTTCAGGGCGATCAAAGTCAAGAAACTCACGAGGACTGATCTTAACAAGAAAGCAAGGAAGAAAGAGATGCTGAAGCAGGAAGCCATGAGAAAGGAGCAGGCCAAGTTAATGGAGGAGATAAACAGGTTTTTAAAATGCAAGTTTAGATCTGTCTTTTTAAGTTTGTTCTTGTTCTCAGACTTCCAGAAATCAAGGAAGCCATCCAAGTCGAGGATGAAGAGAAAAAAAAGATATGGACTCGACGCATGGTTTCAAAGAAGGAACGGCAAGCCAATTGTCCACCGCGACTGGGAAAGCACAAGTAAGTCCCTTGAATGAAAGCTTTCTTCTCCAGCAGTAGCACTCGCTAAAATCTCTTTGACAGGTTCAAGCCAGACTCCGTGAAAGTCCTGCTTTCCGAGGAAGTCACTGGATCATTGCGAAAACTAAAGGTAATTGTTGCAAACTGTAGTGGGACTAAATTTTCTATCGACGCCAGGGATGCTACTCTTTGCTTCGAGAGAGATACAAGAGCTTGCAGCGGCGAGGACTCGTGGAACCTCGGGTTCCTGTCAAGTAAGATCACTAGAAAATAAAATTCTTGGTACTCACATTTTGTTCTCATTTTTTTTCCAGGAAGAAAGTGGCAAAGATGTGGGTGAACTACGAGAGTGGCACGAAGGGAGCCAAAGAACGAGAAACACACGCAAGTATGGTGGCCGAGAGAGAAGCAAGAAAACACGCTTTAGCTGTTCTTCCTGTAAAATAAAAAAGTTTTGGGATTGTTGCCCTAAAATTTGGGAGATTTGCCGGTGAGTCCATCTCTTCGCGACCGCAATGGCGCTCGTTTCGTTTCCCTCTGGGATCAATGCTCGGCCTCGCAGGTAGCAAGTGATCCTCCAGGCATGGCGCAAGTCGCGATTGACGCCAATGGCGTGGAATCCGCGAAGAAGAACCGGATTCAGGTGTCCAATACCAAGAAGCCGCTCTTCTTCTATGTCAATCTCGCAAAGGTACACAGATTTCTCGCTCTTTGTCTCGCTTCCTCGCGATTTAGCGCTCCAATGCGATGGGAAATTCTTGTTCCTGGCAGAGATTTATGCAGCAATACAATGAGGTTGAGCTCTCGGCCCTGGGAATGGGTATGTTCTCTCGTACCCTCTTTTTTTTCTTGATTCTAAATCGTTTTGTTTCCTTGTGTTTGCAGCAATCGCTACAGTGGTCACCGTGGTGGAAATTCTCAAGAACAATGGTCTCGCCGTGGAGAAGAGTAAATTCCTCTTTAACCTTTTCCTTACTTCCTCCTCGGTGTGTTATTCAAACGACGCTCTTTCAGGAATATCGACCTCCACCATCGACATAGGCGATGAAACTCGGGGACGATCAGTCCAGAAAGCGAAGGTATGGAATTTTGTGCTTGTTTCTCAGGCTAAAACTTCTTCTTTTCTCTCTTCTCTCTGCGATTTTGTCACAGATGGAAATCGTTCTCACAAAGTCTGCACAGTTCGACGAGATCATGGCGGCCGCGGCTGCGGATGAAAACGGAGGTGCGCCCGAGCAGGCGGAAGCAGAGTGAGAAGAAAACGATCCAAACAACAAAAGAGGCTTTGTATTTTGAATTTTGTGTGGTAACTTTTTGCTAATAGCTGTTTTTCTTCGATCATTCCTCTTCTTAAGCTTGAAAGATAATTTTTTTGACAGGACTTAAGCTACAACGAGAAAACTTAATCTTGGAACATGAGTGAAATCCCCGCCAGTGTCAACCACACTGTGACAGCCACCCAGAAGTATGGGCTCTTCTCCCATTTCGGAGGATTCCACTCGATCCAATCCTCCGATTTTTTTTGGGACTTTTTGCCGCTGCTGCTCGCCAGGCGCTGCTTACGCTCTCGGGCCATCTGGCTCCAAGTTTTTTGCGAGCTGCCAAGGATCATTCATCAGTAACGAGGAAGAAAGAGTGGCCAAACCTTTGAGAGTACGCATCAATCAGGGGGATTGTCACTCGCTCATTGCTGGAGATTTTGAGCTTGGGTGCTTCGAGAATGTAGCGGAGATCAGCAGCTTGTCTCCGGATCGCCTTGTTGGGATGAGAGCTCTCGAGCCGCTTGTAGAGGCTAATGCAGTCGTCATGACGATTGTGAGCCTCGTATGCCATTGCCAGCCAGATTTGGATCTGTCTTAAAAGAGTTCCCGAAAGTTAGTTCCAAAGTTCACGAAAGTTCACGCAAGAACAAGCTTCCAAAGTTCGCGGAAGAAAGTTTAGCTTGAAGAAACAAAGCCAAAGGAGATTTACCTCGCCTCCAAGGTTGGATGCCTTGGGAACGTTTGTCAATGCAGCTTCCAGAAATTCCACTGCTTTGCCATAGCTTCCTTTGCCATAAGCTCGTTGTCCAAGATCAAACATCACCGCAGCTTGCTTTCGCTGCTGGGCCTGTTCTTTAGCTCTCTGGAGAAGAACCATAGAAAAATCAAACATCCTTACAAATAAAATCTGAGAATGACTTACACGAGCGAGCTCCTCTTGGAACTTTGCAGCTCTCTCTTTCGTGTCGCCCTCCAATTCCTTTTCCAGCCTCTCGGCCTCCGCCACGAGCTCTTGCATTTGCTGGATTTCATCCAGCTTCTTCTTGTTCTCCTCGCTCTCCCAGAACCCGGGAGCGTTCTCATCCGCCTTGGATTCTTGTTCCTCCTCCTCGCCATCGCCATCGCCATCGCCATTGCTCGGCGAATCTGGTGAAAAGCCGCTGCAATGCAGCACAAAACCTAGTCTTCTCGTCCTCCTCCCTCTCCGGCTGAATGCGTTCCTCAATCCAGCGCCACGGGAGATTGGCGCCCTGCCCGAGCAGCTGGGCGAAGGATTGCATTCGTCCAGCAGCGCATCGGGAACCCTGGCGTAGAAGCTGTGACACGCCGGAAGGACCAATATGCCCATCCTCCGAGTGAATTGGAGAACCCTAATTCCAGCAGTACCTGCAAGAAAGAGAAGTGGATCTCGCCAAGAGGAGGAGGCGATCGATCCATCGATTGATCCATCGCGTCGCCCATGCCGCCGCGCAAGATCATCCAGCGATGGATTTTCAAATGCCCAGTTGGGGCATTTGCCCACCGAATATGCTTGGAATGTTACTTTCGCCTAACAAGTATATTCCTCGTGTTTCGTTGAATGGAGGAAACTGTGTGGGAAAGGAGGCGCAGTACGCGGCGTGAGTGGTAGAATAGGGTGTGATTCGATTTGCGGGCCACCGACGCGGCGCTCGATCGCCTGCGTTGGATCCAGCTCCCGCGCATTGTCCTCCTTCGATCTTGCCGGGCCGCGCGATCGATCCGGGCGATTGGCGATCTCGCCTCGTGATCCCTGCCAGGGTTTCGGGTTTCGAGGTCTGTGACCCTTGGAGCTTTTCCGCGATGAGGTACAATTGGCACAGAGTCGCCGAGAGTGGGCCTCTTCCATTGCGATTCCGCCACGGCCTGGTTGGCATCACAGACAACTCCGCGAGGATCTCTATGGTGAAGTTTAGGCTCCAAATTTCGATGCGCTTGATATTTTCTTCTCTGATTTTGTCATTCTTTCTCTTTTTGCCTTTTTTAGGTGTATGCCATTGGTAGAAATGAAGAGAACAAGGATCTGGAAGTGTTTGAACTGGACAGCAATCTAGAAAGCTGGAACAAAGTTCCTTTTCTTTTTGAGAACGAGCTCGCTAGGAAAGCGTTGACAAGTAGACAACAAGAGTTTTTACTTGCAGGTTCTTCTTTCGAGAAGTGTCTCATCGTAAATTTGCTGACTTCTTTTTTGTCTTCTCTAGGAGCTGGATCTTCCATCTACATGATCGAGAGAACTTCGAGCTCTGGCAAGGTGAGCAAGAATGCTACTGCATTTTGATAGAGCTTCCGAAGCTTGCATTTCATGTGCTTCAGGCTGGAAATGTTTCAGGGTGCCACGCTACTCAAGTTCGACACGGTGGAGCGCAAGTGGTGCACGAAAAATGTATCTGGACGCTCTGCGGAGGCATCAGAAGTTGTAGCAGCTGCAACTGCCGGTGAAAAGATTGTAAGAGTTTGGAGTTGTAGCTCTGATCTTTATCGTGAGTTTGTGTCAGGTTTTGCTCGGTGACAACGAGCTTTCGACTGACGTTTATTTATTGGACACCATCAACAATCGATGGACTGCTCCAAAGATTTTAGGAACCCCGCCCTGTCCACGGGATGGGTTCTCGTGTCTGACACTGGAAAAGGACAGGCTACTTGTTTACGATGACAAGGATAACTGGCTTCTAAAGGTACGTAATGACCAGAAGTGTCCTGTTCATGATCTATCGCTTGCTTGCAGATCGGTACACCACACGGACGAGCTGGGGAGGAAGTAATTTCTTGGGGTAAAGCCAGACGCGACACACTGCCTGTCGTCATCTGTGGTCCGTCCGGCGTTGGCAAAGGAACTCTGATAGCGAAGCTAATGCAAGAGTTCCCGGACAAGTTTGGATTCTCAGTCAGTCACACAACAAGAAAGCCGCGAGAGAAAGAACTTGATGGTGTACACTACCATTTCACAAGCCGTGATAGCATGGAGCTTGCTGTCAACGAGGGGATGTTTCTGGAGCACGCCAACGTGCACGGGAACATGTATGGCACTAGCATTTCAGCGGTTGAAGCAGTCTCTGATGGAGGAAAGGTTGGACTTCTCCTACTTAAAGCTCTAGTTTTGGTGATTTGTTTTAACTCTGAGTTTCTCTGGCAGCGATGCATCCTGGACATTGATGTACAGGGAGCTAAGTCTGTGCGACAGAGCTCGATGGAAGCATTATTTATCTTCATATTGCCCCCATCTTTTGAAGAGCTGGAAAAGCGTCTTCGCGGGAGGTAAAATGGTTTTTAAGTTTTCGTGTGAGCTCATACTTTGAGAGTGTTTCCCAGGGGAACGGAGACAGAGGAACAAGTAATGAAGCGGCTTCAAAACGCAAAGCGAGAGCTTGAGCTCGGTAAAGACCCTTTTCTCTTTGATCATGTCTTAGTGAACGACGACCTTGAGTCCACCTACAAGCAGCTGAAGGTAACCGATCATCCTTCTTGCATAAAACAAACTGGCAAATTTTCATCGCAGGGTATCCTTGGTCTCGTTGACGATGGTGCCGAAATCCCAGGTAGAAGTTTCCTTTTCTTTGTCTCTCGTCTGACAATCTATTCTTCCTTCTTGCAGCCTCCCGCAAACTCGTAACTGGACTCAAACCAGAAATTGACCATATCAAAGTGTAAGCTTTCTTCAAAGCTGGAAATCTTTTCCACTCAAAAAGCTCTGCTTTCAGGCATTTGGTGGATGTTTCGCCCGGTTTTACCAAATGGCAGCCGGTAGAAGCCAGCGAAAAACAAATACCCTGCAAGTACACTAACGCGCTTCACCTCAGCGACTTAGAGATTCTCATGACGGCAAACGATGGCGAGAGCATCGTTGTGAGGCTGGGGAAGTAGCAAACTTATATTTCGCTGCTTGCTAGGAACCAATTTTGTTCACTGACCAGTCTCCTCGTGACCATTCACAACAACAGGCCGAGAATTTGCGTATCCTAGCAGCAGTCTCCTACTCGGTGGCCTCTCACGAGTAAAAGCTCTCGTAGGAGGTGGCGGCTTCTTCCTCCTCACGACATTTTTCTTCCCAGGTGATGTTCTCTGTAGCTTCCCAGGATCAGGCTGCTCGAGCACCTCCGAGTTCTCTTGGTTCTCGCGCCGCTGGCGAGAAGCTCGGATTTTTCCAGGCGAGAAGGACCAGTCGACCCGGCTGGGATCGAAGAGGTTGGCTCGGAGCTTGGTGTTGGCGACGCGGAAGCTCCGGACGAGCCACATCGTCTCTTCGGCGTCCTCCATGGTGGGACACTCGCAGTAAGCGTAGCCCACCGATTGCTGGGATGGCCCCCTCGAGACGAAGTCCCAGCGCTCCACGCCCGGGAGGCGCGCCATGAGGAAGTTAAACTCGCGGCGCTTCACAGTGAGAGGGATGTTCCAGACGCAAATGAGAATGGAGCCACACTCGCTCTCGTGGCCCTCTTTGTTTGTTCTACGCCATGGCGCTGGATCCTCTCTCTTGGCAGACCTGGAGCTGCTTGAATCGTCGGGAAATCTCTCCAGTCGCTGGCCCAGCGAGGCCGTGGCGACTGGAAATCGACGAGAATTGGCGATGATTCGTCCGCCCGGCAGAGCATTCGCGTGAAGAACTATTCCAAGCATAGCTAGGGGTAAGTGATTACTTATACTGCAAAGTAAAACAAATTGTTATACAACTAAGAGATCCAAATGCCCTAGAATTTCCCGAAAAGCCCTAAATTTTGGAGCGATGGCCAAGTCGCTGCGATCCAAGCGCAAGATGCGACTGAGGACGATCAAGCGGGAGATTGCAGAGCCGCACTTCGAGAAGAAGGAGCTAGAGAAGCAGGCGGCGCTCGAGGCGGCCATGGCGGCGCCCAAGGTGGAGGTGCGCCGCCGCGAGAGCAGCGCCATGGGTGAGTCTATACCGCATTTTGTAGCTCTTGTGCTCACAGCTGGGGATTTCTGGGGTTTTGTTTCTCTCCCGCAGAGATAGAAGAAGAGAAAGTGGAGGAACAGGAGAAGAGCGGCAGTGGCGCAATGGAGACGGACATGATGGCGTCGTCGTCTCTCAAGCCCAAGAAATCGATCAAGAAGAGGAGCAAGAGCAGAGGAAGGCTGAAAAAGGAGAAGCACAGGCAGAAGAAACTTAAGTTTTGAAGGCTTAGCTCTCGCGATTCTAGCGGTGACAAAATGAATGTCGGGTGACCAGCTAAAAGTTTCTCTGTTTTTTTTTTTTTTTTCTTCTTCGCTGTGGAAGTAAACCGCGCTGCACATTGGAATTGCAATGACAAAATCATGTACTTGAAATTGTCATCGATCGGGTAATTTGTGACGGCAATGGCACCTGCTCCAAAAATTGGCAGCGCAATGAAACTACAAAAAGTTTAATACGAATTCTGCTAGACTTCTGGTTTTGACAAGATCGGGACCAAAGAAATATCTCTAGAAGACATGTACAAAACCACGTGGCAACTCTCAACTGGAGAGTTTTCTCGTACCTTACAGAAGCGATACATGCACGGCGCCCATGTACAAAATGTACTCCTTTGGATCATCAAAACCTTGAGTTGCAATGCGTGCCAAGAGCAGATAAGGAGGCGGAAATAAGCAGCTCTCGAAACAAAAGTATACGTTTCTTACAAAAACCTATTGGATCGGAATATGACTTAGACTTCGAGACACACAGACGGGTCATCAGATGCATACTCTACAACCCAACAGGTTAACCACTGTTTATTCACCACACTATTTAAACAGATAAACTGCGGTAACGCTTGGGCAAGTGGGATAAGTGCATTGCCCTAGGTTTTGCCCTACTTAGCTTAGGTCATGTTTAAATTATAATTAACGAAAACTAAACAAAATACAAATACAAATGATAAAACCCTCGGGTTTTAGGGTTTATGGCTATGGCGTTGCGCGCGTGCTTGCGCAGGAGATTATGGGCGCGGCACGCGTTCCCAGTGCGCCCAATGTGCACTGCGCCCACAGACGCAATTGAAATGCCAGGTAAATCGGAAGAATCTTCGGCAGCCCCAGCAGAGGATGGTAGATCGCCGGAGCTCGTCTTCGCCAGCGCAATGTTCCACTCCTCCACGAACTGGACCCTCCGCGCCCTTGTGGAGGATTTTTGCAGCCTGCTGGAAGGGAAGAAGCTGATGAACAAGCTGGGCTTGCGCTACCTGCGAAAGAGGTGAAAGACGAAACACTTTGATCGCTCCAGGAAAAATCTGATGGAGATGTTTTCTAGGATCGCAGTGGGCTTCGGCAAGCTATCCTCGGTGGCAAGCGAGAGTATCCGCTGATCCTGGAGAAGGAGTCCAAGATCGGAAGGAAGCCAGTGCCTGTTCCAAAGGGAGTCACTGTGAAAATCGATGGACAGCTTGTGGAAGTCACGGGCCCGCTGGGGAGCTTGTCGTGGACGTTCCGCGACGAGGTTCGCATCACGCTGGAGAACGATACTCTCATCCTCAAGAGAGTGATGGAGACGAAGAAATCTCGAGCCATGCACGGTTTGTCACGGTAAGCTCGACATTCTCATTCTTTTCCTTTCTTCTTCTAGTTTGGTTTGTTCCAGTGTGCATTACTTTCTCTCCCTCGTAGTTTTGAGTTGTGGTTTCTCAGAGTTTAGTTTCCTTGTTTTTCATCGATCTTTGATTTTTCTCTCTTTGATTTCTCCAGGCAGCTGCTGAGCAACATGGTGGTGGGAGTTTCACAGGGATTCGAGAAGAAGCTGATCATGGTCGGAGTTGGCTACCGAGCGGTGGTGCAGGGAAACAAGCTGCTGCTCAACATCGGCTTCAAAATGCCCGAGGTGGTGGCCATCCCCGACGGGATCACGGCGGTGGTGGAGGAGAACACCAAGATCACAGTCTCGGGGCGCGACAATGTGCTCCTCGGAAACTTTGCGGCGCTCGTTCGATCCAAGCGAAAGCCCGAGCCATACAAAGGCAAAGGCATCCGATACGCTGACGAGAAAGTGAGAAGAAAGGAGACCAAGAAAGACAAAAAGAAGAAGTAGCTCTTGAACGAAGAGAGATTTGCTGCTTCCACACTTGGCATACAAATTCACCAAAGCATTCCCCACAAAGGTAGGAGCTATTCAGTGACCTTTGAGCCCGTGATCTTATTCCATTCCCTTCTCTAGGATATAGCTCTTGATGTTCCTTGTTCTTGGAATTCTCATGAGAGCCGCGAAATAGGTTCTAGCGTTTACCTAGCACCCCTCCCGCACGTACCCCATCGTCAAGGAATTCCACGACACGATGTTGTGGCACATCGGGCATGTCCGGGCATTTCTCTAAGGCATTCACAGCACGGTTGTCGAGGAAGAGTTTCGAGTAGAGGCTTGTGGAAATTTATGTGTGGAGAGCCTTAGATTATAGTTAAAGGCATAAAGCACAAAATAAAACAAATTAAAGTTACACAAAAAACAATGCCAGTATTTAGCAATGTGAAAATCTTTGTTTCTTCAGAACTTCAATATAATATAGTGATTTCTTGATGATTTTTCTCTTGTTGCAGGGTCTAGAGATGCAATCCCAAGTATTATTCCAGCAAGCAAGCTCCCCTAGGGTGGAGTTTTACATCCTTTAAGAGTGGGTCGTGAATGCTCTCCATATTATTGTCCTGATCCATATGTTGTTTGTAATTGTGTTGGAAATTGTTCTTGTGCTTGTTACTATTAACTAGAAACAAAGCATACTTATGTTATTATCAATCAAATAATAAATAATAATAATCTAAAAGCAATTTTTGCTCGTTGAAATTCGGAGCTTATTGGATTGTGTAGTGGCGGGAGTTTAAGAAAAAATAATTAAACTTACAAAACTTCCGTTGCCGGGAATTGAACCCGGGTCTCTCGGGTGAGAGCCGAGTATCCTGACCGACTAGACTACAACGGAATCCTATAGTAAGCCCCGAATTCTTTTCATCATATAGGCTTTGTGACGTGGTACGTGGCAGCGCCGCAGCCGTTTGCTGCATCTAAACGCGGCCAACGTATCCAAGGGCTCACAGTTTCCTTTCCAGACAACCAAGTGCCCTTCTTTGCGTGAATCGTGGAGATTTTTCCCGAGGCGCCGGATTGCTCGATCGATCCATGGCGGGATCGCACTCGAGCGGATCAATTGCTGGCGTTAGGTTTTAGCGCGGCGGCCAGCGAGCAATGACGGTATGCGCTCGCTCGAGGCCAAAAGAATCTTGCATTGACTGGTGGTGTGTCGTGATTCGCCAATTCCAGCGGTCACAGCCAGTTGTGTTCTTCCTTGCTTGCCTTTTTTCCTTCTTCTTGCTTGAATCTTTCTTCGTGTGGCCGCCGTGCATGGATCGCAATCCCGCAATCCTGAAATATCGACTTCTTGTGCCAGATTGCGAGCGCCGCGAGGAATGTGGGTCGGGCGCCTGGGATTTCAATGGAGAAGGAGCGATCTTTCCGTCGCCGATCGAGCCGGTGAGTGTCGCAGCTCTTTGTTGAGTGAGGGAAGCAAGAAAGGAGGGAGAGAGATAGATCGCAGTGATTTTCTCTCGAGGGGGGATAGATCGCGCTGGGAGGAGACCAAGAGATGGCTCTTTCTATTTATTTCGGAGAGGAAGAGTTAGCGTAGTCCTAGTTGGAGGGAAGAGAGTGGGTATCGCTAACGCTATGCCTTTGGAGCCTCTTCCAGAGAGCATGAAAATTTTCACGCCGCCGGTCAATGCAGCCAGCGTTGTGGAAAGCTTTGGTGGTTTAAAGCCCGCAAGTAGGTCGAGTGAAAAGGACGTGCTCGTAAAAAAGCGAGGGGGGGACGAGGATAGAACAGGACTAGTCGTGGAGTCACTGGGATCATATAACACAAAGGCCAAGGATAAACTCACGGGAACTTCTTCCTCGCCGAGCGTCTACCACCACCACCACCACCACCGAGAGGACTCGAGCTTCTTGCGGAGAAGAGCAGTGGAAAGTAGTAGCGGCGGTGCTGCTGGAACATCATCTCTGGAGGTGGAGGACGACGAGGAAGTGGAGTGCCGACGCGTCGTGAGGATCTTTCCTCCACCGCTGCCATCGCTGGCGAGGAAGGGGCCGTCGCAGTTCCCGTGCCAGATGCCGCTGGTGGCGCTTCACCCGATCAGGAGTCACGGCCGGTTCGTGCTCCAGGAGCTCAAGGTCCCCAAGCAGCTCATGTTCCGGCCCATCCGGACGAAAGGCAGGCTCATCTTGCAGCTCAAGTATGACGAGGACGAGGATGGCGAGGCGGAGCACGGGTTGATCGGGGGTGGTGGTGGTGGTGGCGAATCCAGCAGCGGAAGCTTTGGAAGTTCTGATATCTCCGATGCCGCTATCAAAAGCCTGTCGTCCACTTCGAGCGATTCGTCGTCGCTGCTGTCTACAGGCCCGGGTTCTTCGTCTCCAGCTACGAGCCCGACTTCTCCGTCGCTCGTCTCAGCCCCGGCTCCAGCTACAGCTCCAGTTCCAGCTCCGCCGCCCCAAATCATCGACGTCTTCTGTCAAGGCCCGTGTGGCGGGCGAAAGATGGTCGTTGAAAGCGCCGCGGGGCTGGAACAGGGAACAAAGGCGTGACGAGGTACTGGATTTACGTACGTAAAAAGTTTCGTACCTATCTCCACTTTCGTCATGCCGCTCGCTTATCATCTCTTTTCACTTTTTGTTCGTTTTGGATAACAAAAACTGCTTCTTCGAGCTTATTGAAATCTGCACAAGCCAAGAGCACAGCTAAATCGGAGAAGCGGACATTCCTGCTGGATTTGAGCGAGCAAATGGAAACAAGCCACATACCGGAAGAGTGGAGTAAAATGTCGTCACGAGGTAAAGTTGCATGGAGATGGGGACGTCAGCACGACGTGTGCAGTCGTCGTCCCCGTGTCTTCGCGCATAAAATCCCCGCGAATATGCGCCCGAATCATTCCCCATTCAAAATAACCCGCTCGTGTCGAGCCCGTCTCTTTCTGTTCTTCGTGGGCCTTGGCTATGGACGCGGAGGGCGATCCTGTGGATCCAGAGCCGGCTCTATAGCAAAAAAGAGAAGAGAGAAAGAGGAAAAGATTAGAGAGAAAGGAGAGAGAGAGAGAAGAAAGAAATTCACGATGTTACCCAGCTCGTCGTTTCCTCCCGTCTATCAGCAGGACGAGGGAGGAGGCTTCGATCCCACCAAGTCGGACAGGTACTGGGAATCCCCGGCCACCGTCTCTGTTGTCGACGAGGATCTTCGGAGCTGCAACCAAATGCCGTTCAAGAACGAGTTCCAGGAGCTCCTGCCGGTTCCAAACGGGGGCAGCGGCAGCGGCATCTTCACTCCCGGTTCCCACCACCAACACCAGCTCTTGCAACCACAGCTCCAGTTTGGAGGCGAGCAGGACGCTCCCTTTGGTTCGATCAACGAGGCCCAGGCGAAGCAGGAGATGCTGGCTTACCAGGCCCTGTGCCAAGCCGAGCTCATGAGGTCGGAGAAGACGCCCCACCGGACGCAATTCCAGAGGGAGAACCACATCCTGGCCGAGAGGCAGAGGCGCGAGGAGATGAACGAGAAGTTCACGGCGCTCAAAGCGTTGCTGCCAAAGTCAACCAAGGTAAAGCCGTGAGCTAATTATTCTCTAACGAACATCTACTCAGTTGCTTTACCCGCGTCTCAGAAAGACAAGGCGTCCATCGTTGGCGAGACAATCAACTACGTTCTTGAGCTGGAGAAGAAGCTCAAGGAGCTGCAGTCGACGGCCAACAGCAAGACTTCCCACCGTCACAAGAGACGAGCACTGCCAGCAGAAACAAATCCCGAGAGGAGAATAGCAACGTCGTCAAACGCAGATCAAGGAGAGAACCTGAGCGTAAGCATTTACTTCCGTCTTGATCACTAACGCCGTGCTTAAGAAGTTTGCGTTCAGGTGAAGCCTGCAGACATTGAGCTACAGTCAATAGGAGGACAAGCGATAATCAAGATGGTTTGCATGCGAAGTCCAGGACTTGCCTTACGAATTCTGGCGACCCTCGAGAGCTGCCAAGCGCAGGTGATCCAGTCGAACATTGCAACTCTAGGAAGCCATGCCATTCTCTTCTTCACTGTTGAGGTAATATTGATCACGAATATGATTTCGTACCTCTATTTTTCTTTTCGTTAATTCAGCTCAGCTCGAGCAATACCAGCACCGAGGAGTTGATCGCAACTCTAGAGCTCGCAGCTAGTCGCACGGAGTAAAATACCACAATTTTCAGACCATTTGTAGCTTCCAGTGTATTCCATCTACATAAATTCTCTGGAGGGAGACTTGATAGTACCTTGCTTGCTTTGTGTTCTTGCTCATTCAGATGATTGACACAACAATGACTTATCGTGATTGACAAAAGTTTCTCCTGGAATAGAAACTCAGTGTCAAAAACAAATTGATTGTCAATATCTACAGACAGACATACCACTCCCATCCCGCGGCAATAAGTATCACATCTTGCTGTAACTGACGACCTTCCAGAGAGTTTCAAGCCTGAACAGGTGTTTTCGGCTGGAACTCTTGCGTTGTCTTTACTGCTCTCGAAGACACAGAGCCCGTACTCAATCTGTTCACCAGCCCAGAGTTCCAGTACGCCGGGATTAAGACCGTAGGTAGCCTCCTGCTCTCCACCAAGTCTGGATAATCGGTGGTGTAATGTAGGCCCCGACTCTCACGTCTTGACAGTGCACTTCTAACAACGACGCGAGCGACACATATCAAGTTCCGCATCTCACAGACCTCCAGGTCCACCATGTTTGGCTTCCACCCGTGCCTGAATAAATGATCCTGCCATGAAGTTTCTAGCTCTTCCAGCCGTCGCTGTGCGATCTCCAGCCGTTCCGTGGACCTCACTATGCCTACGAAGTTCCACATTATCTGCTGCAGCGACTTTCTCTGAACGGCCGTGAACTTTCTGATTTCTTCCATCTGACTGTCTTCGAGGATAGCTGTCGACTCCAGCGGACGGGTCCATTCACGAGCCTCATCCACTGCCCTGTACGATCCCTGTACCCGTTGAAAGTGATCTTTTGACGGGTTGACGGCTCGTTGAGCGAACACAAGCGCTTCCAGCAGAGAGTTGCTTGCTAGCCTGTTGGCCCCGTGCAAGCCCGTGCATGTAACCTCGCCTGCTGCGTACAATCCTTCTATGGAGGTCTGACCGGACAATCCTGTTTGGATTCCACCGCACATATAGTGCGCGGCTGGTACGACTGGTATTGGTTCCTTTGTGATGTCTAGTCCACACTTCAAGCATTCCCGCGCGATGTTTGGAAAGTGGCCGAGAACCTCGCCCGCAGGCTTGTGGCTGATGTCGAGGTAGACAAATTTCTCGTTGTTCTTCTTGAGTTGATCGTCGATGCTCCGAGCCACCACATCCCTCGGGGCCAACTCCCCTCGGGCGTCATACAGAGGCATGAATCTTTCCCTGGCCATGTTAAAGAGCTTTCCTCCTGCACCTCGGACAGCTTCGGTAATGAGAAAAGCATTCTCACGTGACTTTGGCTTGATTGGTAGACCGTCGTCAGCCAAGGCGGTTGGATGGAACTGCACGAATCTGCGATTTGACTGGTTAGAGAACATTTGAGGACAAAGAAGAAAAACATACTCCATGTTAGAAATCACTGCCTGCGCACGATGCCCCATAGCGACTCCATCACCGGTTGCAACCTGCGACATAGAACGCGTAAGTTGTGAAGAGTACAGCATTTAGATTACCAGTGGATTGGTAGTACTAGGATAAATGTGACCCGCGCCTCCGGTGGCCAGCAGAGTCACAGCTGAAATAAATCGAACCACCTGAACAGAGCGTGATCAGCTTTGGATGAAAGAACTCGCTAGACTCCTCACCTCTTTGGTTCTGACATTCAAAGTATCCAAGCCGTGACACGTGATTGTGTTGCCATCCTGTAAAGTTGTCTCAGTCACAGTACAAAGAAATAGTTGACCAACAAACCTCGTGTGTGAGAAGGTCCAGAGCAAAATGATGCTCAAAGATTGAGATGGAGGCATTGTTTTTGACAGCGGTGAGCAACGCACGCTCAATCTCCCTCCCAGTCATATCAGCGGTGTGAACTATCCGGTGATGCGAGTGGCCACCTTCTCTTGCAAGATGGAGCTGGCCATCTTCGCTATGATCAAAAGAAGCTCCAAAGGCCATGAGCTCTTTTACACGCTCGGGGCCCTCCCTGCACACTACCTGTCATTCGTAGAAACGACGTGTCTACCAAAACGCTGATTGCAACTAAGATGAACTTACCTCCACTGTTTCTTCGTCACAAAGAAAGGCCCCAGCCACGATTGTATCTCTCATATGATTCTCCACTGAATCGGACGGGTCTAGAACAGCACTGACTCCCCCTTGGGCATATCTCGTATTGCTCTCCTGTGGCTCCGACTTGGTGATGATAGCCACCGATCCAAACTTCGCAACGTCCAACGCATACCGAAGGCCAGCAACACCGCTCCCAATCACCAAGAAGTCGAAATATTTCGTCGAGCTTCCATCATCCAGACGTGTTCTTGAATGGCGGCCATTCTGGTGTGAGGAAATCCTCCCATTTGCGGCAGCCTTGATTGTAAGGAAGCGATTCGAGGCTTGACACAGCGCCAAAGAGGCATCCACCGATCGAAAACTCGACAAGCCGGGAGCGAAATACGCCGAGAAGCTGGCCCCTCTCAAGCAGGGAGCTCCAAAATCCATGGGAGAGTGAGACGATCTGCCAAGATAAAGGGATCAGCAATCCCGAGACACCGAACGCTCGATCAAGGTACCTGATTCCAGCGCACAGCTGCACAGACGCCATCTCCCAGCTGCGATCGCTCGCTCAAACCCTAGGCGCTAGACCGGCGCCTTCTCTCTTCTTCCGCCCACTCTTAAGCAAAGGGATGGCGCGGCCCTATTTATATGAAATCCATCGATTAAAGAAATTTCCTTGAGCGCGAACAACACACGGCACCCATTTTAAAACTCTCCCCTTGCACACCGGTCCTCTGCGCCGTCGATCCGCGGAACGAGGTTCCATTCCGGAATGTGGCCATGGCGATTCAAAGAGGTCGAAGCTTCCGACCGTGGATGAAATTCCGTGGAAGGATCAACGGCCCTTTAAAAAAGCGTTTGACTAGCTCTAAAAAGCACGCTGATTCAATGGCGGGCGCGAGCCACTAGAGCCTAGTGGCGCCGGCGCTCGCCACGTCAGCGCTCTCTTATTGGGCAAGAATATTCTACTCCCTAGTGTCTTTACATTCTCGACTGCCACACTTGCACCTGAAAGCTTTGATGGGGTGGTTTTCGTCCGCAAAGTCGAGCTGATAGTCCTGTTTAAAAGAAGTTAAATTAGTTCTCTCTTCTTTTTTTTCTCACTCACCCATGTAAGTTCTTCCATGGCACTCACAGCGTGCTTGGTGAAGAGCGCAATCTAAAGATCAAGTCTGAGCAAAGAATCTCGAAGAGAAAACCGAAAAGAGATTGAAAAACTTGCATGGTAGAAGTGTCGATCGGGACACTCGATTTCGACAGGAATGTCGACGAGATTGGAATCTCCACACCTGGAGGAAACAACGTTGATACGAAAGATCGACCGCTGCAAAAAAACGAGAGACGACAGTACCTGTGATTGATAAACCTGGCAACGTTTCCATAGTGTGTGCAGTCGAGGCACAAGAGGTGGTCGTCTTCCAGAATCCGCTCGGTGCAAACGTCGGAATCGAGATAGATTGGATAGAAATGCCTGGATTGCTTGAGAAAACGCTCCTCGTTCCTTTCGTCGAGCTCCGTGTTCGTGAGTATCTCCCCAATATACTCGCAGACGAACGCTCCCATGGGAAGATCTTCCGTGGTCCTCACTCCCCATCCTTTTCCAGTTGGAGTCCAAAACACCTGCGAAGAACAACAAAAGTTCACTTAGAACCGAAACAAAGTTCACGTAGAACCAAAACTGAAGAGTACCTCGAGCTTGTATCTCACTCCTTGCTGAACGATTCGATTCCCACACAGCTTCTTGTGGCACGTACACTTGACCCAGCACTCCTTGATGAACCGGCGAACGATGTGTCCTCGGCATTTCTCGGTCGAGCCCCGCGCCACCTCCATGGGACACTCTTTCTCGCACGTAACTCTCCGGCACGCCTCGTCACCCTGGGTCTCCCGGACGGCCTGCCTCAAAAGCTCCTTTTTGACGCAGCCATCCTCGTTGTACGCAAACTCGCCGCCGGTCTCTCGCGCGCAGTGGCACGGCCACTTCTTCTTGAGGCAGTTCCCGAAGCAAGCCGTGCAGCAGTTGTCCTGCTCGATCTTGCACAGCCGGATTTCGATTTTGGCCTTCTCGTACGCGACGGCCACGGCGGTGTAGGTGAAGTCCTCCGGCAAACTCTCGTCGCCGCCTGGAGCTCGCACGAACGGTATCGGGACCGACTCCGCGCCCTTCGCGATGTCGTTCGGATCGTGCCTTTGCTTCTTTTTATATCGGACTGGAGCACAAGAGAAGAAGCTTCGTCTGTCAGTGCAAGTTCTCGAGTTTTGGTGTAAGAAAACCGACTCACCCGAGCTTTCTCCCGTGTTGATTACTTCCAAAGCTTGCGGGGCGCTAGGAGCTCCTGCGAAAACAACGAAAGTTTTCATGGTGAAAAGGAAAGACCATTTGGAATTTACCGAATGTCAAGTTTCTCGCGGCTGCTGAAACAAGCACGGAGCTGAGGAAACGAGAAACAGGAATGTATCCAAAGAAATTTACCTGGTGTATTCTTGCTGGAGGAGACTGGAAAACGAGTAGATCGGAATGTAGAGGAAATGAAAACGTAGACACAAACCTGCTTTTGCCAGCTTGCCGGAGCTTTTCGCCTCGGCCTTCGGGGAGGATCTCGGCAAGTTTTTCTTGTCCGCTTCGCATTGCAGGCGCAATTTTTTAACGCATGCTACAGGATATAGTCATTAGTTCTAGAGAATGAAAAAGAACAAAGAAAAGACTAATGGAAAGTTTACCTGAAACGTGCTTGTTACTCTTCTCCAACGCTTCGTTATTCCTTCCCAACGGAATGAGAAACTCGTCAAGGCCTTTCCTCTTGACGCTCGGAGACGAGCTCGGACCAGCTGCGAATCGATATAGATCCAAAACGAAATTGAAAACGAAGGAAAGATATGAGATGAAATTACCAGTTTCCACAACTGCATTGCCTCCTGGATCAAAAACTAGATAAGAAACGAAGGAAGATCGAAGAAGAAACGAGAATACCATCATCCACAAGCTCCATCACAAGAACTTCGAAGTTGTTCTCCTCAATGTGAGTCCAGCTCCCCTCGTAGACCTGGAAATCCACCGATGACCGCGAAAAGAATCCAAAAAAGAAGGATCTCACTCGCAGCAGCCTCCCAAGCACATCGAGCACCACGCTTCTCTCAAAACCCAGCTCGGCCATTTTGCTACAAGCAGCGTCTTTTTTGTCCTCCATCGCTAAACCCATTTTAGGGTTTGAGTGAGGATGAGCGGCCGGCGCAGGGGAATGCGGCAGGCGCTGGATTCGTGCAGCTGCGTCGATCCTCGCGCGAGCGGCTTGTCAATCATGCGCGTTGTGGCGCTGCGCGGATCTAATCTCGTGGAGGTACTTTGGAATTTAAGGCGCTCCCTCGATGTGCTCACTAATGCTACAGTAGGTGGAAGATGAGAAGCTCGAGAGGACGCTGTGCTTGCTTCCTGCCAAGTTCAGCAAATCTCTCTGGATTAAACGAGGTAAGCTTTGGAGGATTCATGTGCAGACCGGCATTTTGATTCTTTGCTTGTTCTTTAGGGAACTACGTTTTAGTGGAGGAAGCAGATCGCCAAAAGCTGCTCGACGCAAATGCCAAAGTGACAGGAATAATCTCGCAGGTTCTTTACAGGGATCACGTCAAAGAACTCCAAAAGACCGGGTGCTGGTAAGTGATTCGATCAAAGTTGCCAGGATGTCTCGCTCAAAAACCAATTTTTTTTCCAGGCCTAAAGGCTTTCAGCTCACTGAACCAAAGGGTTGTTCTCAGCCAGCTTCGACCAACAAGGACCTGCAAGTAGAACCAGCTTCCGGAAATTCTAGTGACGAAGAGGATGATTTGCCGGCTCTGGAGCAGAACACAAACCGATCCAGAGGCGGGACCTTGTACTTGTCATCTTCGGAAAGTGACGAAGACTTGTGACAAAGATCTTCCTCGGTACTTGAAGTTCCTCACCAAAGTTCACTTTTTTTTCTTGTAGAATTCACTCGTTTCACTTGTAGGACAGAGGAACTCTTTGGAGAGCGATCAAGGATTTTGTTCGAGACTCGGTTCCCGGTAAGTTTTTCTTACTTCGATCAATCAATCGCTTCGAGAGCTGTTTGGATCAAGGCCTAGTGATTACCAGAAAGAACGGAGATAAGATGGAGTCGACTTGTCGAAGCTCGCAGCAGCGGTAAAAACTCTGTTGTGGCTCCAAGTCGATTCCGCGCGACAAAAAACAAGAGAAGAGCGAAAAAACTCAGCTAAACGCATGACAATGAAGGTCTCCAAACAGACTCGAAGCATATCCCGCGCTAGATCCTCTGAGCTGAGCTGACTTACACTCACCCCTCTGATGTATAACAGCCGAGCAATTAAGCTAATTTAAAGGCGGACGAGGAGTCTTTCGAGCGTGCGTTAAATGCATCGTGTTTATATATTGTATTCTTCTCACTAGTTTTTTTTTGTTTTTCCTGTGACCATCCGTCGATCCAAAGGAAAAAAACAAGTTTGCGCTTCCAAAGTCTTCCAATTTCTCTGTGAAGTTCCAGAGCCGATTTTAATGGCGCTTCTCAGAAGTTGGTAGCCAGATGAAGTCCAGCCAGAGAGAGAGAGGAATCTGCCGCGAATCTCCGCGCGAAAACTCCGTATAAATACTTGGGCCATGCCTTCGTCTTGTTCTCAGATTGGAGCTTCTTTCTGGCGCCGAGCGTAAGCGCACTTCGCTTTGTTTGATCAAGAGGTGTGCTTATTGCTTTGCGCTTGTTTCCTTGTTGCTAGATCGATCGGCCCCGGCGCGATGGCTTCCAATGCAGCAGCGGGATTGCTCGTCCTCTTGGTGGCGCTCATCGCTTCGATCGCCAATGCTGATGGTAAGGAAGCACCTTCGTCCTTTTTTGTTTCATCTTTGCGAGATTTCCTTTGATCGGTGACTTCGATCAGGTGGTCGCAAGCTAATGAAGAGCCAGGTGGAGCAGTACTACGACACTCCATCCCCGGTTTATCCCTCGCCATCCCCGGTTTATCAAAGCCCCAGTCCGGTATACAAGCCTCCTCCATCCCCAGTTTATTCGTCGCCTTCTCCAGTCTACAGCCCACCACCATCTCCAGTTTATTCTTCTCCTTCTCCAGTCTACAGCCCGCCACCATCTCCAGTTTATTCCTCACCATCTCCAGTTTATCATAGTCCCCCTCCAGTTTATTCCTCGCCATCTCCAGTTTATCACAGCCCCCCACCATCTCCAGTTTATTCATCGCCATCCCCGGTTTACAAGCCCTCGCCATCTCCATCCCCGGTTTACAAGCCATCTCCATCCCCAGTTTATCACAGCCCTCCTCCGGTCTACTCCTCGCCATCCCCGGTTTATAAGCCGTCGCCTTCCCCAGTTTACCACAGTCCACCTCCAGTCTATTCCTCTCCATCACCCGTGTATCACAGCCCACCTCCGGTTTACTCGTCTCCATCGCCTGTGTATCACAGCCCACCTCCGGTTTACACTTCTCCATCTCCGGTTTATCACAGCCCACCTCCAGTTTACTCTTCTCCATCTCCTGTATATCACAGTCCCTCTCCAGTGTATCAATCACCATCGCCAGTTTACAAGTCTCCACCATCCCCAGTATACTCCTCGCCATCTCCAGTTTACAAGTCGCCACCATCGCCAGTATATTCTTCTCCATCCCCGGTTTACAGGTCGCCACCCTCGCCAGTATATTCTTCTCCATCTCCCGTTTACAGGTCGCCACCCTCGCCTGTATATTCATCTCCATCCCCAGTTTACAGGTCGCCACCCTCGCCAGTATATTCATCTCCATCTCCAGTTTACAGGTCGCCACCTTCTCCGGTGTACTCGTCTCCGGCGCCAGTTTACAGATCGCCACCATCGCCGGTATATTCGTCCCCGTCTCCGGTCTATTCGCCGCCACCATCGCCAGTTTATTCACCACCACCATCGCCGGTATACTCATCGCCATCGCCAGTCTACAAATCGTCACCGCCTCCGGTGTACTCGTCACCGTCGCCAGTGTACAAGCCCCCGACGCCGCCGCCGGTTTATTCGTCTCCACCGCCGGTTTATTCTTCGCCACCTCCCTACTGAAGGATGCTTAGAATGTAAAGTTTCCATTCTCTGAAATTTCAATGAGCATTGCTTTCGGAAATATTGAGCAGAGCATATGAACAGTATGGGTTTACGTGTGAGCTGGAGAGGTTTTTCTTCTGCGACGAGATCTTTTAGGCAGATCTTTTGCTTCAATTTAAGCTCTCGCGTACTCCGCGGATCGAGCAGAACAGCACCACCTTTTCTCCAACTAGATCTAAGTTCAATCCTACAGAAACTACTATGCTGCACCTCCGCGCAGGATGATTTCACATATGATGTCAAAACGGCCGCGGGTATTTAATCGACAATCGCAAAGACGCTGCTAGATCTGAAATTTAAAACAATGTAAGCGAAATCAGCTAGTGAATCTTTAGCATAGCGGTATATTCTCGTAAACTGGTTTTAAACGTTCCAAGGGTTAAAGCTATTGATGTGGCCAAGGAAAATGCTGGTGGTCAGGAGTCGGGAGTTTGATACGATTGCTACAGAGGGCAAGCTCAGGAAAATATGGGGAATTTCTTAACGCGGCGTGCTGACAAGAACAAGGATTTGCGGTATTTCTCCTTTCTGTTTCTCAGGGTGAGGTTGAGCTCCAAGCTTAGGATGGATCATCTGACCATATATTGGAGGATTTGAATCGCAGCTCGGGCGGAAGAGTCTCCCGACGACGCGATTGAGGAAGCGAAGAAGTCCGTCCAGGAGATGCAAGGAAGATTGCGAGTGACAAGGCCGCGCGGGATGAGGGAGGAAACAGCTACACGCCGCGATCAACGAAGCCAAGGAGGAGCTCAAGGACAACTGATCATCTCGAATGCCAGCGATGTGGAAAAATCTCGAGAAGGGATCTAAGGAAGCGAGTGGGCTTTCGTCGGTGACCAAATCTTAATACAAGTTATAATCATTTGAACCTTCGACCTTGTGGTTAGCTAAGTTATTGATAAAGGTTCCGCTCCTCTGTGTCATGGTCTTGGCATCGTTTCCTGGAGGGTCTTGTGCTCCGTTGCTCCTGGAGTTCGTTGATGATGAAGACTTCCATGATTTGTGCTCGTGCGTTTGTCGTCGGCAATCCATGTTGGTGAGGTACCGCTAGCGGTGTTGCAAGTCCAAGGGCGGCTAGTAGTTGGGTGTTCCAGTCAGTGCAGAGGTGCATACTTCATGGAACTTTGGTTGGTTGTGCCTAATTCGAGTGGCTCCCTGTTCCGTATCATGCAATTGTTCTCTTGTTGTGCCATACATCTCGTCCGGGTTGATCTCCTGTGTATAAGTGGTACTTGGTTTTGGCTTTCCTGTTGTTGATCCACTCGATCAAGGTTGTGTCTAAAGGTCAGTGCTTTCCTTGAAGCTCTTGAGCAAGTGGTCGAGATTGTGTCCAAATCTGGTCATCCATCTGACTACGTCGTGCCACCCTCCTGTCCCGTGTTGTTGATCCAGTTGTTTGGAGTCCTCAATGGCAAGTCCGCAAGCTTTCCTCCTCGTAGGAACCGGTTCTTCTGCACACCAACACACTCTGCTGCGTCTTTCAGACTCGATTCACGCTGGGTCTGCTGTGAGCGCCGGGAAACCGGCACACGCACCCGCACCCCCTCGCTGGGTGTCCAAACAGTGAAGATAGAGGATAGTTCGGCTCCATGCCGTGGTCTCTATGGGCAAAAGGCCAGCTTTGGTCCCCACCGTAAAGCACCACTGTTGTGCGGTAGTATACCTTTTTGGCTTCCCGGCAAGTGGTGACAGTCATAGTGTAGAGCTTGTTCCACTGCCCTTCGTGCTGCCTAGCTAGGGAAATTGTCCATCAAATGTAATTCCATGCTTCTTTCCTGGGTTTTGCATAAAGCAACTTACATTGGTAATAACAGTGAGATTTTGCCATTGCAAGATACATTAGAGCATCAACAATATTTTGATAGTTTTAGGATTTCTCCCCCTAACTTTAGAAAAAAATTCTTCACAGTGTTGACATAACGAAGAGATAAATTGAGAAAAATACATGTATTCTATTGATGCAGAATAAACTTTCATGATAATCTATTGTAATGTATTTGCAAGACCAAGCCAATATGATATCTCACTGAGATCAGTTCATCCATATAGATAATAATGATTGAAATTGTAGCAAACATAAACATTCTTTGTCCTTATGAATCCAAGAAATTTATTAATTGTAGGAAAGAAACCTTCATCAGATATTACACAAGAAGTGGAGTTAAAATATGTATAATTATAAGTGGGAAAGATAATATTTCAATAGCATTGTACTTATTGAACAACATTATGAAGGGTTGTTAATGCAAATGCATGCATAAGTTTTACAAAATCTTAATGAACATACTTAATTTGATCTATTTTAACATATTTAGCTCTACACTAAATAAAAAACTTTAGAAATGAATACTATATTGCATAATTGACACAAATAGACCTTAATTGCTAAAAAGCATTGTCATAATTATCAGTATATCCAAAAGTGCATTTGAAAATGTATTTATTTTGCATAAGTGGTTGTGCTCAATTATAATGTTGTACCTTGAAGACATATTGGAAACTTACATAGATATTGAGCATCATCCTAAGAATTATAGATGGCAATCACTATAAAATGATTAACTAATAATACATATCATCTCTAAAATTCTTACAAAAATAATTCCACCAAAACTTAAAGATTAGTAATAAAAGCAAAGAGTTACACCACATGTCATGAATGTATTTTAATTGTTTAGTTGTAATGGCATAACATATGTAATTGCACTAATTATTGCTCTAGAATAGAAAGAAGAGGAGGCCACTATAAAAGACTATGTTACTTTATTATAAAGATGAGCAAAAGGAAGCAAAAAGAAAAAAACGCAAAAGAGATCAAAGGCTAAATTTAAATTAAAAATAGAAATCGAAGCACACCTCAAGGACAATCATATTTTTCTTTAAATATAAGTGTATAAAATATAAAAATGTGCAATTTTGATTAACCCAAAAAAAAACCTTAATTTATAAATGGTTCAAATTAAAACCATTAAAAAACTATAAAAAATTGTAGACCACATATTTCAAGTTTGAGTGTGTTAAATGCACCAATTCTAACATCTCATCAAGTTGAAGCATACAGCATTTAGAAAGAATACTTGTGATTCCAGTGATTGGGTGAGTTTAACTTATTTTCTTCTTTTATGTGTTGCCTTTGGAATTTCCTCATCACTAGAATGTTCTCCTTAGCAGCAAGGAACCTGAATGCATGGACGACTTGGGTGGGAGCACCGCAATCTTATTAAAAAACAGCATTTCTAAAGTTTTAGTCTAATGCTTCATAGTCATGTAAACAATATATAATGAATACTTCAGTACCATTTGAATAGGCTCAACATTTGGCAGTAAGTCTACTGCAAATAAATTGAATCCATCCCCTTAGAACACTTAAAAAACTGATTACGACCGTTCTGGGTACAACCCCCAAACCATGTCACCCTTTGAATTGATCAGTCCGTTGAGCTGTACTATGGGAAACTGAAACACGCAAGTTGTTCCAGCCATCCAAACTCATCTTCGCATTTGCTCATATGGCGTGCAATTCATAAAAGGGTGAGTGTTACTGTGGTAGATTTCACTCACAATACAGTGTCCATGTGGTAGTTTTCTATTGGTTCAGCATTAAATGTCATTTGGATGCCTCATGGATGCCCCATGGATGCTGGCTGATGGGTCAATGATGTCCCCATAATATGAACAATGTGTTACACATAGATGCCACATATCATCAAGTTTGACCCCATGACATGGGGATTCATCAGGTCATAGGGTTTAGGAGACACTTCCTTGCCTTAACGCCTTGCTTTAGTGCTCTGTTATTTGGCATGTTTTTTGGTAGCAGATGTGGAAGGTAACTTGGTTTGTTAGTGAGTGGTTTGAAATGTTTTTGTGGGCAGTGTTGGAAGTGGCTTTGATTTACTACTCAATTGTTCTCTATGGACTTTCAAGTTCCTACCATGAGTATAGTTCCCTCCCTAGTTTACTTCAAATTTGTGTCACTGAAACTTTTTCTTCCAGGTTTACTGGAAGATGTGGAGGAAGATGAGGTGGATGGCCTTCCATCCAATTTTAGTGATTCGGACTATGGTTCCAGTATGGATAGTGACAACGATGCTCTCCCAGAGGTTTGCTTAGTTTCCAGCCTTCTAGATTCATGATTTGCACGTTTCTAGGCCTTCTATAATTTTTTGCAATCGAGGGGATTCGGTAGTCCAGCTGCATTTGGCACTTGGATGCACCTGAAGATCCTCGAGACTAAGACTACTGCTTACCTCGCATGCTATCTTAGAATTTCCAAGCCAACACTGTACAAATACATGCGGCTTGTCGATCCAAATTGGAGAGGTGTATATTATAGAGTACCACCCGAAGAGGTACTTCATCACATTCGAACTAACAATGCCATGAATCGAGGTGGCACAAACTGGGGGATTATCAATTCCCGATCTAGCTGTCGAACTGGAGGATACTGATTTAGCCGACGCCAAATTTGTGAGGCCTTAGCCACTCACGATCCAAATAGGCTGGAACAGAGGCACATGACAAGGATTCGACGACGGATTTATAGGAATGAGGAGGCTTATGCTTTCTACTTTTTTTTCAGCACATGTGGTAACATGTTTATTGTAGCATATTGCAAGCTTGTAAGCTATGGTTTCTATGTACCTCCAAAGAATCCCATACAATATTTAACACATATGCGCAGGCTATTCGTCGATTTGGAAGGCCCAAGCGCATCCGGAGCGACAATGCTCCAAAGCACAATGAGGTTGAGAGGGACATGATCCGCTGTTGGGGTCCTGTAGCTAGGAGCTTCATACGTGGGACATCAACACGTAACCAGGTACTCATAGCGTTAGAGTTTTTCCAAATAAGGACTCATAGGACTAAATCAAATTTGTTTTACAGCGCATAGAGCATTTGTGGAGAGAGCTCTTTGAGCGCGTGGTGTGGTTTTATAAGCACCTTTTTGAGTCCTAGGAATTCTCGATGTATCCAATCCATGCCACAACCAAAGTCTACGTTGTGTCTTTGCT